AGCCAATCGTATAATACCCCGGCGAAGAACGCCCCGAACGATATGATACCATTGGTTAACTCACTTTATGCCTTTTGTGTATGTAGCGGTCTTCATAATTGGGATAGCGCTCTCGCTCTATGTGAACCACATGTCCGGCAGCTATTGAGGCTCTCCCAACTAGTCAATTATCAGCGTCTGATTTGGCATCTGCCTTGTTGGCAGCCTCTGCTTTATCCTTGTTCTTTGGATTCAAGAAGCAGTCCTTGGGTTTATGCTGTATCTCTCGTTTGTGAAAAGGACAATATTGTTTCTTTTGTCCCTTGTTCTTCTTGGAATCAGGTTTAGACTTCTTCTTATCGTCCATAGACGCCATGTTAGAAGAAGCATGTTGTTGAACCTGGCTGTCGTTTCCGATTTTTCGTCCTTCAGAAGCAATAAAATCACCGAAAATGTTGTGAAGATTTTTGTCATGAGACCAGTCGTCACGAATGGAAACGGTGCTTAGCCAATACTGGCATGCTGTGTTGTTGCTAACGGCATGAAGAAACATGTAGATAGCATAGAGAGATGAAACGCGTTGCTTAATTGGGAAAGCTTCTTGCATTTCAGTGAATAAATGACGCTATTTCGTGACGAACTCCTCTGGTTTAATGCCTGGTTTATACTTCTAGGTAGCCCACTTGTTGACTTTATTACCAACAGCGAAGAAGGTCTTTGCTTCACAGAGAGCACGGAGCTCTTCGTAGACCTATGCGGCTGTGTTACCGCAACGAATGTACACTAGCATTGTGGTATCAAGTGACGATGCTACGTAAGAGAGGATAACAGCATTCTTCTGGTCCCATGTTTGTTGGGCTTTCCTCCTCTTTGTGATATCTGCCTTTTTTGTGGCAGACTGCGTGGGAGCAGTAGTGGAATGTCACGTCATGCACTATATATATCGGAGCCTGGAATATCTGAGCATAATGCTCAGATATAGTGGTATTTTTGGCCTAGTGTGTAACTCGCCAGTCCAGGGGCAGGTTCTAACATGGAAGCTGGAGTGTCGTTATTAACAACCTCCGTCATGGTGTCCTCGAATTCATCAGAGGACTCTTCCATTCTAGGAAGATTTTGTGGGCGCTGGTCACGTCCGACCAGAAGTGGCCAGTATAAAAGATCAATGCCATTGAGGCCTATCTCTATACACTGCTTCCATGTCTCCCAATTGGATTCGCCCTTAAGAGATGGAACTAAATCCGAGAATTTAGGGTTCGAGGGACTGCCTCGAGAATCCGCTATGATGAGGGTAGGTGTGTGTTTGTGACCGGAAGAATGAACGCGGGGTTCAGATGAATCGCTGGGTTCGAAGGAATCGCGGGATTCGAGGTTGAACGTGGAAGTTCAATGAGATATCGTTAATCCCAAAGACGTGGATAGTCTTTAGGTCGTACACACAGAGAGAAGAAGCTGTCTTCGGCAAGAAGAGACAGGAAGGTTAATGCGATTTTTTTTTTTTTTTGAAAATGCACCCCGAGGATATTGATTGGTGGTTAAACCAAATCAATAGTGAGTCCCCGTGCTCATAACCTGGTAAGGATGATGGATCTATTTGATGGAAATAGATCAATTTGATGAAATACAATATGTGAAATTGTACGAGAGGTGTAGAAAGAAGAATAATCTACAATACAGGTGGGATTAAGTTTACATGCACCTGCCGAATAAGGCAGGAAGGGACCCACATACCATGTGATACAGTGAGCCCCTAAAACAAAAGGAATGGCTTGCTTAGATAAATCCTTTATCCATGGCAGCAATCAGGATATTATCCATGCACAAGAGAATCCAGGTCTCCCGATCCTCTCTCTTCATGATGTATGGTTCATCGACGAGCGGACAATGGTTCATCCAGTTCTTGGAGTATTTTATCAGGTACATACATTCATGCACAGCAGCGTTGCATGCTATGTACTCGGCAGTAGATCTACTACCGACGAAGATGTCTTCCTTTCTAGAAGACCAGCTAGTGAGGGTTATCTCACTACGGCAAAAGAGAGTCTAAACGGTTCTTAAATGCGATACCAGGTGTCGCAAAGTGTGGACGGGTCCCCAACTCGGCTAGCGAGCCCTCGGTCTTAAGCAAGTAGAGTAGGAAATTTATGTTGTAGTTGTCAACAGTCATGTGCCAGGTAGCGGGTGGCAGCCATCCTGTTGGTTGGTAGATCGACCGGCGGATCTTCGATAGTGCGGGCGAAAAAGTAATTATTATATAATTAAGTGTTGAGCATGCGGTGAGAGAGGTGATGATAAAGGAAGAGAGATATGTATGAGAATCTACAGAGAGACAAGATATTTATACCCCTGTAAGTCTAGCAAACAGCATAGCAAACAGCAGGGTGGATATCACAACATTAGGTACATATAAGCAGCCATGAGATGTATTCTCAGTAGACTTTTCAGTAGTATGTTTAGTAGTCTTCTCAGTTATCACTATGTTCAGATACAACATAGGTCACCGGCTAAATAAGGCAGAAAAGGCCAAATTTGCGCGAACAATTTTTCTATGTATAATATTCGAAACGGTATGATATCACAATAATAATAAATGCCTTTTCGCCACGCCTGTTGACTGCTCACTCAAACACCTCATACTTTCGCGTCGGGGGGAGCGTTGGAGTCGCAGGAGTGGGGGTACGATTACTGCTTGGATCGAAGCCTCAATCCCAGGTACTAGTAGACTCTGCCGGAATGCTTGTGTCTCTTCTGTCATGAGAGGCCTGAAGTCCTCTCTCTTTCTCTGCAGATTGTTTAACGGGTCATCAAGGTCTTCTGGTGACTCGTCAGACCCGTTGATTCCCCTTGCTGATAGTTCTGGGGTGTAATTGCGGCTTTTGTAGGTGGTGTTTGTAGTCTTTGAAGTTGATCTTGCAGAGCCTGGTAGTGGTAATAAGCTCTGAAATGCGACTGTGGGAGAATTCGGGTTTTTTGCTGGCTTTGCGGAGGGTGAGGTCGCGGTGGCTGGCATGCTGGCTTCATCGATCTTCACTGGCACTTTGAGTTCTTGTATAAAGCGCGCTAGGAGAAAGTTGTCTTAGTTCTCAGAACAGGCAGATGAGTGGCCATGTTGGCTTGTCGTCAGGGGGGAGAAAAGAACACAAGAATGGAAAGAGGGAGAGAAAGGAAGGCGGACACAAGGTGAGGAAACGGTGAATCTTTCGTGCTCAAATATGAAGCTGCGATATTGGTCATATTTATTCACCCCTACATCACATTTGTATCAATACCTGAGTCAATCATTCTCTACTATGGATTGGCGATTAGAGGCTTTCGGAGGATCGTCAGGGTCGCCCATTCCATTTTGGCCATCCTCGATTAGCTGATATCTGAGTACCAAAGGCTACCTACCTAGGTATATTCCGAATCTCCCTATTACCTAACCTATATGTAAAACCTTGGAAACAAAAATAGTCCATTTGGTGATTCTATAAATGTATACCCCGCATGAGGTAACCTTAGTGCGGGGGTACATTTTCTAGCGCGGGGGCACACCCCTTGCCTTCTTTTTACCCCCTTCCTACACAGTTCTTCGATATATTCAACAATAGCACAGAATTGACTCTGAACCTCTCCAGATCCACTTCAGATTCAACATGTATTCCCCAAAAGTCGGAGATAGAGTCGATACCCTCGACACACCATCCATGATTGCAGATCTCGATCTCGTCGAGGCCAACATCAAGAAGTTGATGGACAAGCTATTACCAACAGGCCTTGACATCCGCCCTCATCTGAAAACCACAAAGAGCGCCATTCTAGCCGACAAGATGGTCAAAGCAGGTGCAAAGGGAGGCTGCGTAGCCAAAGTGAGCGAGGCTGAAGTCATCGCCGCGGCCGGATTCGATGACCTGTTTATCACTTGCGAGATCATCGGCCCTGCAAAGGTCCAAAGACTGGTTGAACTATACCGAAAATACCGCAAAATCAGGATAGTTGTTGACAGCGAAGCTGGCGCAACAGCTATTGATAAGGCTTTGGCCGCAGCTAGTATCGACGAACCTATCTCGGTTCTAATTGACCTCGATGTTGGGCTTCATCGCACCGGTGTCTTGCCAGGTGAACCAGCCATGACCCTGGCACACTGTGTGCAGGGTCTGAAGCATTTGAAACTAATTGGACTCCACGGTTATGAGGGTCATTTGCAGCATTTGCATGATAAGGAATATCGCAAGAGTCAATGTCTGCAGTCTATGGAGGTTCTCACCAACACTGCGGATGTTCTACGGAAGGCGGGCTTCAACATCGAAGTTGTCACTACAGGTGGAACTGGAACTGCTGAGTTCTGTGCTACAGTACCCGGCGTGACTGAGCTCCAGCCTGGATCATTTATTTTCATGGATACGGATTACCGAAATGCCGTAGGCACGTTCTATTCCAACAGTCTTACGATCCTGTCAACTGTTCTGAGCAAACAAGGTCCTCGGTCGGTCACAATCGACAGCGGATTGAAGTCTTTGACGACAGATAGTGGCTTGGCAGAGTGCAAGGACCAGAGGTACACCTATGGTGTTCTTGGTGACGAGCACGGCTCACTCAGTTGGGAGGAGGGTACCCCGGCGCTTTCGGTTGGAGATCGCGTCGAGATGGTACCGAGTCACATTGACCCTACGGTAAACTTGCATGACTTCTATTACGCCCATAGAGGGGGTGTGATTGAAGAAATCTGGCCTGTTGACTCCAGAGGCAAGGTCCAATAGTTTCCCAGGCAACTTGTCAATCTACGGGGTCTCCAAGAACACGAATTAAGACATGAAACTTTGGCCTTGCGGTCAAATATTAGAAATCATCGAAATGCATAGAATGGGAGTCTCTTTTTATCGTATATGTGAGACATATGAATCTTCATAATTACATAACCTGATACAAAGCTCTCCTAAGCAAAAAGCCACCAACCCAAACGCCTTGGCAATGATCAAAACCCCGAATGCATCAATTCAGAAACAGATTAGAAGGAAAATCGCAGTTGACGATTCAATCGATCACGAAGCCTGATAAACCTTGAAGCTGCCAAATTCCCAGTATGCAGTATCAAAACTGGCCGCATTGTCGCGCACAAATGCCTTGCAGCTGCCAGGACAGCTACTTTGTGTTGTGTAGTACTTGCTCGCTCCCGCCCAGTCACCACACAAAGAGATATTGATGATAATACTCTGGTTCTTGAAATGAGAACCGATGTCGCAATCCGTGCTGGGGAAGTCTGCGAATGCTTCGCCCCATGTGGATGGGTCGGGGTTTCCTGAGGTGATATCTGACGGGATCTTGGAGCGGACCCATTGCCATACACGAATACCGGCATCACGGAGTTCCATTGCGTAAATCTGCAGGAGACGCTTATTAGGAAACTGATTTCACTGCATGGATTAGGGTCCCGATCATAACTTACTCCGCCCCCCTTGCCATTGAACTCAGGACCATAGGTGCTCGCTGTGCCTTTCACGCCACAGCCCGTATACCCATTCGCCTCGTAGTAACAGTCCTCGTGATCCACAGTACCACTTTCTTTCCGTTTGACACTCATAGAACAGCCTTTCGATGTGTGAAGCGTCGACTGGGTTCCAAACGTTCCAGCGTTAGTAGCTTCCACAACATCAATTTCTCCATAATCAGGCCAGTTATTGGGGTCTGTCAGCCACAGGGCCGGCCATGTACCACACCCGTACGGGGTGTGGATAACGTCGAAGATGAAAAGCCCATCAGCATAAGTTTTGTTGGATGTGACTCGCACAGATTGGCGGCCGTTAGCAGCCTCCGATCCTTTGTATTTCGTGTCCACCTTCAGCACAGCAGAAGTGTCCGTCGCTGATGTCAAATTGAGCCATTGAGATGCAGACCGGTCGATGTATCTAGGTTACACGTTAGTTTACCTTTTCTACCGCTTCACAAGTAGGAGTCGTACTGGACAAATCCATGGGTTGGGTCGGCCCCAGTGAAATATTCAAAGTTGTCGAAAAAGGAAGATCCCGAATAGGTATCTTTCAAGCTGTAGTTCAGTTTTGAGTAATCAGGATACCGATTGGCTCGCACTCCTAGTACTGCACCAACGACAACAGCTACTATCACCACGACGGCTCCAATCGCTATGAAAATCTTGGTCTTCAAAGACCATCCCCGTGGATCCCATCTGGAGTATTCATCTGTGTCGTCTTCGCTCCACGCTCCGTAAGAAGGTGGCTGTTTACCGGTCGCTGGTGGTTGATTTTGCAATAAATGACTTGATTGATAACCACCAGAGTCATTTTGAGCATAATTATCGCGCATTTTGACAAGTGAGGTGAGATTGATAGTGTTGCCTATGCCAAGCAATGACAAATAAGTATCACACGGGGTCAAACAATTAAAGCAAAATATGAAAATTAAGACAGCGTTAAAACAATTCGCAATAACAACGAAGTGATAAAAAAATAAAAAAGCGATCTCCTGTCACAAAATTCCGTGCCTTGGAGGCAGGCCACGCGTTAGATAAGCGGGGCCATTGGCCGGAAGGGCTACGTAGGGCCAAGTCCATGACTTGGGATATTTAAGACAGCGCAGATCTTTACCCACTATGCCTATTTATTTGGGTAATTTGTTGACATTCACTTTGATACAAACCATCAGTCTGACGTCAATGTCTATAGAACCTCCCTCCATACTCCGTATATATAGTTGGGTTGAAGTTTTATCCACTTTATGAGTTGGCATGGTCTCACGGTGTATCAGCCAATTGGAGTGAAGCCAGATAAAAATAGTAACAATTCCGAAGATCCAGTTTGTCGGTCGCTGCTATAAAGAAGATTGTTTTCGGTAACGGCGTGCGCGAGATAATGTATTGCGAATGCCACTATGAGATGCAGTTACCCAGGCAACCTCGAAGCTATTTAGATATATTGCCATATCTAGCGATCAAGTCTCTCATATCGTTGAGCATTCTGTGAGCAATGTCAGTTGATCTCATCGTAATTCCAGGCTGGTGAGGAACTTTTGCGTACTGTTCTCGAAGATCTAGATTTTGAGGAAAGAGGGCCGAGACATGTGTGTTAAACCGTCTAAATCTTTGAGTTGAGTTATCTAACAAATGGACATAAGACGCCATTGAGTATACGCACAATTTATAGAGATCGATGCGACCTTGGTAGTCCTCCACTGGAGATGATATGGGCAATTGTGAATAATACCCTTGAACATACTCGGTACCAAACCGGTTGCAAACTGGCGCCCATTGCCCAAGTTCATCTATCAGGTTTGGCTGGATGTTAGCGCTAGCCCTATTGCTTTAATCAAATCATACAACATACATTCATTATGGGCATAGAAAGAGCAGGCGTCAAACATGATAGGACTTTTTGTAATGGCATTCTTTCCAGTGTTTCCATACCATAAATCACCGTGCATCAGACAGGGTTTGACAGATCGACCTTCACTTTCGAGTGGTCGCAGCAAACGTGGAATCACTATATCAAATATGGTGGGACTCAAAATTTCGACATCTTCGCTGGGTCCCCGAGTTGAAATTTCATGCGCGAGTGCATGTCTCATTGATTTCGCAAAAAAGGTCTCCCAGCTATCCGACCATTCAGTGTGTTGTGACAGGTTACCGCTGTAGGTAGTAACGTGGAATCCAAACTTTCCAGTAGGTGATCTGCTGTCCTTATGCAGGACTGCGAGATCTTCGGTAAACTTGCGCACATCTGGCAACTCTTGATCAATATCCTTGAATTCACATAGGAAAAAGTGTGTGTTCGGTATTGTCTCATATGTACCCCAACCGATCGGCTTCGGAACAGATTCAGGGATGATATTGTAAATTGCGGTCATAGACTCATACTCGCCCTGAACCATCGCTTTTCCTCTCTCCTCTAATAGAACTTTCATAAAGAATCTCTGAGGCGACCCGTCCACCAGCTCAACATCAATGCGCCCGGTTGTGGCTCGGAAGCTGAAGCCATGATTCTCTGTTGACACGACTTTGGCACCGCATGGAAGTTCTACATCCGTCATCATCGGGGCAATTCTCAACCCGCTCAACCGGAGGATTGTTGATACTCACTAGCAGCGACAGCGGGGTCAACTTTTGCGCTTGAATTCGAAACCTCGGAGTCTAGGCTTGGTTGGAATATCATGGCTGGGATAAAAACACGTTTTTTTCTTTTCCCAAATCCAGCTGATGAATCTTGTAATTGGAAGAGTGAATGTAAAAGTTCCAGGTTTCAAGGGAAATCACGCCCGTTCGCTCCTATCAGTGTATTCCGTATTGAAAATGTTGTGATTTGATGACTGTATTTCTGTATTGATACAGGTAACTTACCCGGAATATCAATAGACCGAGCCCTCTAGGGCCCGCGGGGGGTGACATGGTGATTAGTCAGACTGTCTGTTGATCCCCGGGGCTTCAGGGCTCCCCAAGGAAGTTCTGACGTTCTTGATATTATAGAGACCAACTACTTACATAGGACTTTGACTACATACCGAACCCCCGCCCATAGGATCCGCCGCTCGCCCCTTCAGAGCGTGTGGGGAAACAATGGCGGCCGCTTTTGAATTTGCATCGAACAAACGAACAAATACACTTCACAACTACTTTTTGATGGCCAACTTCTAAGAGAATACTCTTAAACTGTCTATATTCAACATCGTTTCACCAGCAATTCAAATTCTTTCTCTTCTTCTTTTCCTCTCTAGTCCACACAGCGCACAATTGCTTGCTCTATATAACAACTTCGACCGGTATCCTGCTACATTTCCAGTTCTTCACTCGGTCTTTTATCTCATGCACTATGGTTTTCCATTCGTGTAATGTTGAGGAAATGTTGATAGACTTCTATAATGATTGGGCTTACCTGTGGGCGGCCTTCATATGAAGATGACAGGTAAAGCCAGCGTAACCTGCGGATAATCAACATCTGTGCTGGTACTTCATCTTCCTCATACTGGGTGACTTCGGGATGCTGAAACCTGTGGCAAGGTAGACTCCTTTGTTGCTCAGCTTTGTCCCGTTAGACAGTTGCACCCAGTTGTCTTCATTGTCGTACATGGTCTCAATCGCGACCGGGGCAATTGCGGTGAGCTTGGTGTCTGGCTGTAGTATCGAGGGTTCTGGGTTTGGCTGACCGTATCCCCATATAGGGTGTCCCTTTCAGACTCCTTGGCTATCCTGTTCAACTTCCTCGTTATAAATGCGGTTTCGCAGTATTTTCAGCTAATGGAAGATAATGATTCATGAGGGGTCCACGGTTTGATATTTGTCTGTATGGTTCTCTCCAACCTGACTCAGGCGTTCCTTGGTGAACTCATCCCCAAGACCCCGCTCGAAGACACAGTCGGCTCCAGGCTGAGCAGCTAGGATAAACATCTGCTCTAACATCCCTCTCGTTCTTTCTCGGGTCTCTAACAAACCTGGCCCATTGAAGTTGGCCAACTGTACGTGCGCATGTCTCAGTACCCGCGATACGTACCGTAGTAAGGCTCGCCGCGCCTATGCGCGCCTGGTCGCGAGAGGGCGAATCTAGAGTTTAGGTGAGAGGTTCTAGTTGCCAGTTACTGAGTACCGGAATCGGCCTTTGGTCAGCCACTTTTCCTTGCTTTCTGCTTGAAACTCGGTGGATTCAGGTGATGTATCTTACTATTTGGAGGTAGTGATTTCGGGATTTTGAAGAGGGATTTCTCAATGTAGGGTCTAAGTATACTAGACACGGTGCTAGTTAACTTCTTTGTCTGGTGGCAACTCTCAGATGTAAGGTGGATGAGTTTTACCTCTCTTGGCTTGAGTTTGAGTGGTAGGAAAGATGAATAGTGATAAAGTAAAGAAGAGGAGAGGAGACGGATACTGCGAGCCTTTTAAATAGCAATTTCTACGAAAGAGTCTGTCGTTGTGGGTGATTTTGCGAAGGCGCGAATATCACCTCACCCTAAAAAGGAAAGACCCCGATTAAACGAATGTTTGCATTGTAGTGGCCACAAACTAACCTCACAGCTTCGTATATTTCAAGGTCAACAAGTTTTGCTTTTTCAATACCATTCATGGCTGAGAATTGAGCTTTAAAGATTTTGTATTCCTCTACCCCTCTACCAGAGAGCTACCCCATTCCACCCTCCATTTCGTGTTCATTCGGAAGTGATAAGCAAGGATCTAAATTACTATGATATGAGCCCATGACATGGGCTATATGGACCGCAATACGAGCATCGACACCCGATAGACCCGAACCTAACTCTGGAAGATCAAGAGACTCCACAAGCTCAGACTTCACCCACGCAGCCCTCAGATAAATCAAAACACCGGATAGCATGAGGATGTTATACAGGCATCCTTCAGACAATAAAATATAATACAATTCTTCTGACAAGGCCGACTTGTCCATTACCGAGATCAACTATCCCAACTCCTAGTCGAACCTTATAGTACATCTGATCCCTCAATAAAAAAAAATGCATGAAGTATGGCTAACTGCTATGTCTTTGGACTCAGCCAAAACCATATCAAGAAAATACTCTCTACAACATTGAAAACGATCTTGTCGTGCAGAGCTTAAGAGCCTAGATATTGATAGAAATACGTCAACTCTTCATCCTACGTGCACGTAGCTGGGGTTATAATTCAGGTTTTCTTTTATACACTCATAAATTGTTGCTCTGTTGAGTAACAAAATCCCCATCCGAAGTGCTCTTCGCACAAACAGCCAAACGTCCCTTCCTTTTCCCGAGGTCCCTCTTGTCTACAATATCTCTCTCCTTCTCACAACTCACCACCTCTCACTTTCACTTTTCTTCAAGCTCTCCTTCTATCTCATCTACCTACCACCATAGCATCTCCCAGCTCTCAGTTGTCAAACCTGATAATCACGGTATAGCCACAAAAATATAAACGCACATAATCATGAGAGAAACCTAACTATTATACAGCCATGTCTTCCCCAAAGCCATCTCACGATCCGGTCGATAATGAGTCTCGGACTATGGCAGGCTATCTTGAGCCGACTGTCCCGCACACTTCGCAACAAATGCAGCTGCAAAGGGACGCCTTAGTGGCCCTCGATGAAGTTATCACGAAGTTAATTGTGGAACGCGGTGCAATAGAGGATGAGATCATTCGACAGCGCGCGGTGCTTGCTTACCAACTGACGCGCCGCTCAGCCATCGACGACCACATTCGGAACCTTCAGGACGTTTGGAATAAGATGGCAGCTGGGTTTGAAATCACATCCAACAAGTAAACGCCTGGCCGATTCGGCGCATCTTTACTCATTGTCACTTTGGGTATCTACAACATCCTGTGGACTGGTATAGAGTGCCCAAACACTGGTCCCCACCAGTTGTGCCTAACTGCGACCAGCCCGCGTAATGGTCAGAGTCCGGAAGTTTAAGTTATTGTGTTCTATCTCTCCTCTTGCTTCTCTTCTAGAGTCCGTACAGTTCATATTTGTTATTTCTTTCTAGTTACATACACCCTTCTCTCATATTTCAGTCCTCACTTGTCTTTCCACGCTGCACACCGTTTCTTTCCTTTCTCTCTCGCATCTCTCGCCTCTTTCACTTCTCTCTCCTTTACCTCTTTCCTTCCTTCTACATCAATTTGTTTATCCAAGAACAGGGATGACATAGCATATTGAGGTGCTGAAGCACGAATCAAGCAGCTGCCCGGTGCATCATAAACAACATTTCTATTCTCTCTACTGGATACAACTGTGCCGTGTTCAGATCATAGCCAAGGGGCATTGAATCTCCAGATGGAGACATACTTGACCTCTCATTCATTCCCCCTTAGGGAAAAGGTATACCAAGCAAAGGGCACCTACAAGTACACAATGTGGTACGGAGACAAGGGCAGCACCCGTGCAAACACCCAGTCATGTCTGCGCGGCGATGCTTACGAATCGTACAATTCATATCTGACATATTTTTCGTACAACACAAATCGCCACAATGTGGCCCTTGGCCTTAACGTGTGACTGCAATACCTAAGGAGATACCGTACACCAAGGAAGGAATACCTGACCCATTTGGAAGGATAAACAAGAGAACAATCACAGTGGATTAAGAAAGCTGATACAGTTGAAGCGGAGGAAATAATTGCAGATTTCGAAGCTCGCCGTGCAAGTCTTATCCTCTCCCTCATGCTAGACTTTGGTAACTACATGTAATTACTCGATCTTTGTTATAGTAATCGTAGAAACATGGCAAGACACCTTTGGGGAACTGAAAACCCCTTCAAAACCAACTGAAGCTCGGACGAGGTGCAAAATAGATGTCCTCCTCATAACAGTCCATGAAGACCTGAAAGCTCGTGGATGGTTAGAGGACGGTCCGAAAGTTACTCTACAATTTGAGACCGTGCTTGAATGGCAGCAGTTCTACGGCTTAGTACATTGCATTCGACGCCGCAGTACGCGAATGTATGTGGTTGACGGAGATACTCGACCAATTGGGAGAACCCCAGCAGCTTCCAATCGCCTTGTACACACACAGTGACAACACAGTAGCGATTATGAAGGCCGACACCTACCACTGGTGGTAGATTAATCCGATGGCTCTAGGCTTTTTTTGCCCTGGTATATACTCCATGAAAAGGTATTCAAAGGGATCGTCTGTCTCCGATTCAAAATAACGATAGACTTTCGGAACGCGTACAAGCTTGCGGTCGACTGTGTTGTAAGCAAATTCTTGCATGGCTGCTTCAGAGGCAAAGGCACCAAAGCCAAACTTCGCTGCAACTTCGTCAGAAAGCCTGACCACTCGATCCCCACCCATCGGCACCCCGATCTTCCCCTCCCCCTTTGCTGCCTTGTGACAAAGATCGATCAGCCATTCCTCACTGGCAATTGCAATATCCCAGGACATAGTCACGAAATAAGAATTGTTGGAATGAACATCACAATCACAAAGTTTGTGGAGTTACGGTCAAGGGATGAAATATCGGGGCATCTTTTCCCGCGCATTTTTAGCGCTGGTCGTCCATCATATGGGGCGGGAAGGCTTGGCTGCCGCGCTTGGCAAGCTTGGCACAGGAGGGCCCAATACATATCAGGCTCGATTAGGTTATGGAGACATCAACTTTAAACATGGGAGATCATCATTATTATAAAAATGATGATCGACACTACTAACCAGTATTGTGTCTTCTATTTTGAGGGATCGAAATGGCAGGATTTGTACTCATACATGTCCCACTTGAATTCTTCTCTAACGTATACACGGCTATACAAAAACCACACCATCAAGCCCCACAACCTTCTCAAAAAAGCCCCAACCCCCACGTTGCACTCTACTTGGCCTGGCGCTGATCAGATCCCCAAACCTCGTCTCCACCTGTCCAGCCAGCACTGCGATCATATAATATTTATTTAGTAGACATGACCTCAGAGCGCGGAGGTGTTATCTTGTCAGCTGTGCCTGGACAATCTATTTATTTTCCAATAATCCGATCTCACAAAGGCTGGCCCTCTGATTAAGCCCCCTCGGCAAAACTGTACGATTTTGGAGAAGCTTGTTTGTTTAGTATCATGTCGAAGACAATATCGATTTCTATTAGGGATTGTGGTAAAACTAGTGAAGTCATACATTGGTCGTACGCAATTTTAATCTCTCCTGTTCCTCAATTATCCAGTTGTATAAATATAAACCTAGGTTAATAATACTTGTTAACTCATCGCGGTGACTAGAATTACAAAGCGATGGACCACACCTTCCGAGCTCATTGGCCAGCAGCAAACATTTGCTTGTTCAAAACGGCGGGGATGTTGGGAGTTGGGATTCTTGGGCCCTTAGAAGAAGAGGTAGAGGAGAGACTTGAACGAAGAAGAGACGCTGCAGTCTCATGCCCCCGCAATATCATGTGAGCAATGATGTTAGCGATGACTGCCCAGCCATCGCAATGTACTTGGTAAGGGACACATGACCATTGGCCTTCGTTGTTTAACCGAAAGAAGTAGAACCATTGCCCATCTGTCAGCGTGCCCCAGACAGTAGTATCTGTCTGTCCCCTAGCCTTTCGGCTAGCCTACACCATTGCCATATACGCTAGAATCGCAGCAAATGTAGATATTTCGGATTGCTGAGAAGGTTTCTCTATGAATTTTTCAAGCCGGTTCTTGTCGATATCGAACCTATCCGAGAGTTTGCCCCACCAGCTTTTCCAAGTCTGGGTATATTCGACAGCGATGGCATTTTGATATAAAGCAGGAGATTATGTTTTGCAATACGAGAGAAAAAAAAATTGGCTCAAGTAGAAGAGAACTCAAAAATGTCTTGATTTTAGAGTCGGTATGGAGGGAAGTGTGTTGGCGGTAACCCAAATAGGAAATATATCTAGATACCTAACGTCCATGGATTATAATATATGTAGATAAACATGAGATCGTGTAGTATTTCTATAGAATGCTCTCTTATACATCCATATCATATCGTTTTAGCGGTCCTTTGGTGGTCTTTTGGTGGGACTTTTGTTTGTTATTAGCTGATAGTTTTTCTAATGATGCGTAGTACTATGGTTTTTTCTTCCTAGCAGGAGTGGAATCACAGCATTTTTCTGTGGGGTCGTTCTCTTTCTTCCACTCATTAATCAGTTGCAAGAGTTCGATATCGTACCTTCTCCTCTTTATAGTCGGCTTGGCCGGGGCTCCGCGGCCAACAGTCTCTCGGCTGCCACCAAATGATTTAAGACATTGCTCTGCACGACTACAGAAAACTGTTTTATGAATAATTGAAATAGGATTGAATAAATGAAACATATAACCTTGCTCTTTGCTCCCTGCCTGCCTAGGTGACCCTAAGACCCCCCGGGGTCCCGGGGTCCCGGGGCGGGGTCGGCTGAGCACTGTCTGTGCTGGCGCGGATATACGGAATAAGCCTCTTAAACGTTTTCCCGCAGTGTCATCATCTCTAGACATATTTGTTAAATATTCTTTCTTGTCTTGAAGTATTTGCAACTTTATGAATCGACTTACACGTCTCTGTCATATACTCATATCCATTGAGCGTTGTCAAGAATGTCTTCGGCGCGTGAAGATGTCAAAGTGATCGCAGTACTTGGAGCGACCGGAAATCAAGGCGGTGGTGTGGTTCAAGCACTTCTCAAGAGTTCTGCTCCATGCTGGCACATCCGTGCTATAACTCGAGATGCCTTTTCTGCTGGTGCTTTGAAACTCAAAGCGAAGTTCGGAAATACTGACAGGTTGGAGATAATGGCAGCCAATGTATACGACAAAGAATCACTGTTCAAAGCATTTAATAAGGTCTTTGGGGTCTTCGCAGTTACAAACAATCGACTGCCTGGAAATAAAATTGACAAGGAAGAGGATATGGACCATGAGCTGGAAGCCGGAAGAAATATCATTGACGCAGCCAAGGTATGGAGACACCTGGGGTCTTATAAGAATGGACTGACACCGAAATGGAAATCTATCTAGGCCTGTGGAATTCAACATGTTGTGTTGAGTAGCCTGCCGAATTTGACAGAGGCCAGCAACAGGCAGTTTACGAAAGTCTTTCACTTCGACAATAAATCGAAGATTGAACAATGGGCCAAAGATGAGCTCTTAGCTGTCACTGCCCTGCATCCTGGTATGTAATACTAGTCTGGAAATGTGATATCTACTTACTCGCTTATATAGGACTGTTTTATACAAATATGCAATGGTTCCAATATTGCCAACTCCAAGGTGAGCTTCATATATACTTCGAAGCAAACTAGTGACTAACGAATAAACCTAGATGACGGCATCGTCCGCTTTTGTGCTCCAATTGAGGCGGATAGACTAGCGGATTGGGTTGATCCAAGTTATGATATTGGGGTATATGCTGCAGGTGAGGCATCACTTGCTCTCCGAACGACCTGTGTACTTACTAACTGCCAAGAAATATTTCGCTTGGGCCCCCAAAAAACATCATCAAAGACATACCCAGTGGTTGGGCCCAAACTCTCGTTTGCCGAGTTCGCGAAGATTTTCAGTGACACCACTTCCCGCAAGGCTGTCTTTGATCCTATCACACTAGACCAGTGGGGTGCTACTGTAGCTGCCACTGTGGGCAAGGGATACGAGGAAGACATCAGACAGATGATGCAGTGGATATCTATTGCTCCAGATGAGAAGATATGCTATGGCACGATGGATCCTAGGGATGACACATCGTGGAAAGATCTCGGAGTCAGGGCCAGCACATTTGCAGAGTGGATGGAAAGGGCTTCTTGGAAAGGACCGTGAGGTCAGACACAAGAAGTGAATTTGTCTCCATGGCACGCTAGTTCGGCTCGCTGTACCACAAAGAATCACTCGGTAAAACGTATATCCTCCTGAGAGAGATAACACTCACTAGCGCATTCCCGGCAATCATATGTGAGAGCGAAATACATATCACATTCGAAACTACGGAGTAGTTTAGGCGGTAAATTACCGTCGCTGCCTAAAATTCGGTTCACACAAGACCTAGTACACACCGCATTTTTGGCCGCGCAAGCTGGATATTCTTTAGTGCTCACCCCTTGCCGCTTTCTTCTTGCAGTGTAAAGGATAAAACAACCACAATAAATAGATCATCCATACACGTCAAGTTTCCAGACATTCAGAGCGCTCCCCTCGAAAAGCTTCGGGGACTGATTGGTTGGCCCTACGGGGCTCGGACCTGTTCAACCTTGGGAACACGACGGTAACTTTAAAACCTTACAGGTCTGATGAACCATTATGACATCACCAAACACCTACGAGCCCCTGGGTTCTGTGGATTTCAATCACAGCTTAAACTTTCTTCCTTAACTTTTCCTTCCAGCCCTACATTTATTACTTTATCACTTCATTAGTTGCCCATCAAAACCATGAAACCACGGACAATCTTGTTCAGTATCTTCCTAGGAGCTTCCGTCTACGCAGAAGAAAAGATCAGCCTCCAATGGGCAATTTGCGACCCAACACCACAAGATACGCTTGCAAAGCTTGGACTCGATGAAGCACTCCCGTACAAAGAAAATCCCATCACCTACTACGATGAAGATCCCCCTATACATATCAGCGCGGGATTAATGTTCCGCACCAAAACGAACAAAGGCCAGCCACTCTCAACAGTCAAAGTCAGCTTTCCGGAGGTAGTTCCTGATATCCCAGACTTTGTCGACTGCTCCTGGGCCTCCTACGGCACTAATCGGCCATCCTTCACCTGCGAAAAACGCTGTCCTTTAGACAGTAAAATATGGCACGAGGAGCAGGTGCAGTTCGCCGAACGGTATGGGACTGTCGACTGGGATATGCTTCGTGCGTACGGGCCCTACCAAAATGCGAAGTGGAAGGTGCGGATCGGTGGACACAAAACCAAGTTTGATGATGTAGTAGCTGGAGACCTGCATCTGATGGAGATCGAGACGAAAGTGCTTAGGGAGGAGGCTGATGATGCGCTGCAGGCGATCACACATTATCTAAACGAGAGGGGTGTTGCTCTTTGTGGGCCGCAGGAAGGGAAAACCATGCGACTGTTTCGTGCTATGGGGTACCTCGGGAATGAACGGGAGGAGCTATAATCAAATGCGAGAGATATGGACCTTGCGCCGCAGATGTTAGCAAGTCTTACATCCCCTGAACTATCGTACATTTCTAGAGGGCAATCCACTTTCTTGGATCAGGTGTGTCTCACGGGGGCTAAACCTCTTAGTTATCAGAGGTGAATTTAAGCCAAATTACCGCCGAATGTCTGCCAAGTATTACACCGTATCCCAGAAATCGAGAGATATCCGTGTCTGGAGCCTACCAACAACCAAGGGGCAACGGCCAGCAACATTACTCTACAAGCTCTGTCAGGTAGACCCACAGCATATCCCGAGAAAGTTCAGCCTGCAAGTATAGCATATCTGTCACTTTTGACTCACCGGGGTTATGCCCGGAATGAGGGGTAATTCTATTGATGGAATAGACTTTGTGGCCATGTTCCAATAAATGGCTGATTACGCATATTTATGCAGGTACCCGTGGAGTAACCTTCGCAGCGTCCGTGGTTTCTGGGAAACTTTTCATGAGTACACCGCTAGAATTCTACGATTCGCGTAGGCAATTGGTTTTTAGCTTCTTTTTTCAAAGGATTTCCAACTATCCTTCGCTATGAAACCAACTAGATACCTACCTCAATACGCACACCCCCTTCCTGGAGTTGCTGATCAACTCCTTTTCAAGCACATGGTCTCCTTGTCTCATATTCTGTGCCATGCACATGGCCCTTCCACGCCTTTCAGTCCGAATTGCCTGATGCAACTTTAACCTTATGAAAATGCTACTCGGAGTTTGGGTCATCATCATCAGCGTCGATAGGATCCTCGTATTCTTCCGAACAAATTACAGACCAAAGCACCTCAACTGCAAACCAAGTGTAGCTATCAGCATTATTGGTAGCCAAGCTCTTATCATAGGCTCGAACCCCGGAGGGTCCATAAGCAAGGTCGTTTGTTTCTTTCTCCAATGGCGGCGCAACCAAATTGGTATGGTGGGTGTGTTCATGCAACAAAATCGATCCTAGCGTTTCCATCTTCCACGATATACGCGGGTCGAAATTCTCACACAACCTCAGGAACTCCGGCATAACTCTTGGCGATTCCACCGTGACCAAACCCGGCTTTCTTGCAGATGATTATCTCAGGGTTGTCGGAGTTCCACTCACGCAACTCTGGCATAGTACTGCCACCACAGGCGTACTCACCATCGTCATCCTCATAGTCTGTCACAATAGAGATCATGCCTAGCATGTCGCTTCCGACTGGGCTGTTTGGGTCACCGCCGCTGATTTTAGAAACACCTCTACATGTGCTGTCAATAAACCTCCAGTGAGATTTTTTGGGAGAAACTTACTCATGGCGGTGTCTTTGGCGAAAATTGGATCAACTATCAAGGCAGGTATAAGCTGCACGTAAGACGCCATCTACAACGCGTCCTTGAATGCCTCCGTGATCTGAGTTCTCTCTTGATCACTATAACCGTCGTCTATATTCGGATTCGTGCGCTTTTGGAGCAACTGGGCTAGCTTGAGGTATAGCGGGATAGCCAGTGCAGAGGCTGCAAAAATGGCTTGTAGGAGGGCCCTCGACGGCCTAATGGGCTATGGTTTCCGAACGAAAATATGGATAGGAAAGTTGTGTGGTTCTGTTACACGTCATCGGCCCTTCGTCGCTCTTTTATGCACCAATTCTTCCTACAACATACAGTCTAACTTTCTGCGTTGGGGAAATTGCTCAAGGCAAGGCAGACTCCGTCTATCCTATGCAGATGGATCGTCGAAGCTCCGATTCACAATCATTTTTGCTGTCATGAACACTATCCAGTTCGTTTTTCCAGACATAATTCTGCGCACCCCCCCAATTAGGCGTCCCATTTCCAGGGTTTTATTTAGCCCCATTGAATCTGATCCTCTCTGTTTTGAATTATTGTTCCCCCGGCCTTTCTATTTGAGCCCCTCTATATGACGATCCTAGTAAAGATCTACCCTACGCTGCAGTTTCGGCTGAGCTTTTATGATATGACAGCTGTCAAACTGCCTTGGATGAGATTTTGGTAGCCTGAGAGCCGTCACACAGTTTCAGCTGAACCTTTAGTGATATTACAGCCCCTCATATACCAATGACGTCGGTTGCAGGGATACTGTCTACTAAACGCTACCAAGACCCATCAAATCCCACAGTCACCTTAACATCAAAATAATCCTCTGGGTGAAATTTGATATCAGCAAGGAAATAAATCCTCATTCTTCATGCATATCAATTGTAATCAAGAGACAAAATGCCCAGCACCCGTCCCTCAATTTCCATCACACTGGCTATCACACCGCCCAGGTTCTCCCTCAATCCCAGCCCGCAACCGACGATCACCCTGACAGCAGTTTCACATCACCATGAACCTATCACACCCTTTGCTCAACCCACAATATTCAACCTCGGTCTCAGCCAGCGTCGCAGCATCTTCATGTGTCAGGATATCACTGTACCAGACAGAAAGCCGCTACGTCTAGATATCACCAAAGGTGGGAAGCGTCCAGCCTTCAATCGCGAGTTGGGTGGGTCAGATGATCACTTTTTCGTCACATTACACCCTGAGACACCAACTGAGTTTCAGGAAGTGTTTCGCCTGGCCAATAGATCAGGGTACGGAAATACTCTCGAAATTGGACATCGATATTGGTCTGGGATAAAGGAGGGCGAGGTAATACCCTGGTGGCGGGTTGGAGGGAAAGCGGATGTGATGGCGCCCCAAGGTGAGCGAGCTTCGCTGGGAGAGGCAAGCGGGGAGCCTATCACTCTAAAAGCAGAGGGTGTGGATTTCGAGGTTATATAAACCTCCCACCATGCAGTGAAGCACAAATTAGGGACATAAAACGAGCGAACCACTCATAAGTGTTATCGCCATCCACACCCAGACACACAATTGATCTACGGACGAATCGAAAAGCAAATATATTGAATACGATGGTGGCTTTTCTTAAACAGTCGATTCGCTCCTTTGCGAATGACCTCAGCCACCGATGTGCCTACGCAGGTTTAATGTCTTAAGTAATAATTTTTTGCAGTCGATTTACCGTCGATCAGCCTTGTTCCGAATACTTCATGCATAAGCTACTATATTCATTGGTATGTGCTGAGAATCTGTAAGCGCTTGGGTCATCACAATTTAATAGGAGAACGTTGATACGACATAGATGTGACAAGTGGCAGGGAATGTTCCAATTTATGCTTCTAGATCCAATTAAAGGGCTTGTATATCTTAAAGTCACACAGACATGCATTTATATAGTGTAGATACAAAAAAAGTACAGGATTATGCACGTACATCCTGCACCCCCCTCCTACTTGCAGATGACCGACCTATCGTAGAGTGACAGGTGCTGCATCGAGACATGCACACTGCAACCCCTCTTCTTCAAGGCTTTAAAAAATATTCCCCAGATCCAGAATAAATAACCACATATACCCGTTCCTTGTCATATTTCAAACTCTTATTCTTCACTTCAACATCATGTTATCAACGCTGTGGTTGGGTCTCATTGCCCTCGGCTTTTTTATTGTTACCCTTCGCGGCCGGAAAAGATATCCGCTACCTCTTCCTCCTGGTCCTAAACAGCAACCTATAATTGGAAATCTGAAGGACCTTCCAAGCCCAGACCAACAAGATTGGATGCACTGGCTAAAACATAAGGAGCTATATGGTAAGAGTGAATGCCTGTGGAACATACAACTTCAGATGTTGACTATCCCGAAATTAGGACCAATCAGCTCACTCACTGTGCTGGGAAAACATGTTATCGTCCTTAATGATGCTAAGTTGGCGGTGCAGTTACTAGAAAAGCGTTCCGCTATATTCTCATTGCGTCCAGAAAATGCGTTCACTGATATGTAAGTGGCGGCATTATGGATTTACATGGCATTGAGATGACTGATATTGCTAGGTCGGGCTGGCAATATGTTCTTGGGGCACTCAGAAAAACAGACCACGTAAAGAAAACACGCAAACACTTGTTTCAAGAGATGGGTTCAAAGAATTCCGTTGCCCGCTTCAACGATATTCAGGTAGCGGAGGTCAGTCGCTTCCTAGTGAGGGTATTGGATAAGCCAGAAAACCTCCTTCAGCATATACGGAAGTGAGTTAGATAGCATACTATTTTTGTATGCGAGAGCTAATTGTGAGCAGAGAGGCAGGAGCAATCGTCTTGAAAATTGGTTATGGCTATACTATTGAACCCCATGCTCGGGACCCTCTTGTGGATCTAGCCGACCAGGCGATGGAGGATTTTTCATATGCCTTGCTTCCAGCAACATGGGCAGTGGAATTTATTCCAATAAGTAACTAATCATTGATAAATTGTGGAGTATTGTCTAACCCTTTGCCTAGTGAGATATCTCCCGGCCTGGTTCCCTGGGGCAGGGTTCGTGAAGATCGCGCAAAGCTATAGGTCCAGAGCAAAGGCATTCAGTGACGTTCCGTACTCATTTACCAAGCAAAAGATAAGTGACGGTCAATTTGTACCATCCTTCTTGTCCAATCTTCTTCGGGACAATTATGTGGAGCCTGGAACCGAAGACGAAGAGGTCCTCAAATGGTCAGCTGGGTCTTTGTACGCTGGAGGAGCAGATACAGTGAGAGCAACTCCGGATTATACGCATTATATTAGACTAACAAAAATTAGACCGTCTCTTCAATTGCGAGTTTCTTTCTCGCCATGGCTCTTTTCCCGGAGGTGCAACGCAAGGCTCAGGAAGAAATTGACACAGTGCTTGGGACTAATCGACTACCCCAATTCCAAGATCGAGATAACCTTCCATATATAAATGCACTGGTCAAGGAAGTTCTCCGATGGCATCCAGTTGTACCCATGAGTGTACCACATATGTCATCTCAAGACGATACATGCGAAGGGTACTTCATCCCCAAGGGATCATCTGTTCTTACAAACGTCTGGTGGGTTGCTCTTGTTTATTCCAGGAGACAGTAGATACTAATACAGTTTTCGATATTATAGGGCATACACGCACGATCCAACTGTTTATCATGACCCAATGATCTTCAACCCGGAGCGCTTTTTGCCGACCCCAGACCGCAAACTCCCAGAGCGCGATCCACACATGCTTGTGTTCGGATTCGGTCGTCGAGCCTGTCCTGGGCGTACTCTAGCAGACGCAAATGTCTTTCTCACAGTCGCACAGGCTTTGACTGTTTTCAGTATCTCGAAACCGATAGAAAACGGGGTCGTCCAGGATATCCCATTAAAGTTCCTTCCTGGGGTCATTAGCCATCCGGCTCCATTCAAAGTGACAGTCCTGCCGCGAAGCGAGATGCATGAACGTATTATCCGAGAACTCGGAGAACAACATCCTTGGGAGAAAAGTGATGCCGAATTTATCCCGAGTGTGTAGAAAATGATCCTGATATGTATATACTCAAATGACTGCTGATTACCCAGTCTGGTTATATGGTTCCGAGAAAATCTTGAGCACAATTGTTTGAATCGACGGATTATTCGACATGTTCATTAGTCCTTTTTTCACTGGGCAGCGGAATTCTTCAATCGAACGAGTCGGAGCTCATTTAATATTGAATATATCGCAGGATGTCCCATTTTTTTTTAGCATTGTATACTTTCTGTGGCATTCTTGTAGCTGATTTTCGTCTAATATGTCTGTACCATCGATATTCTCTAAATTCGAATTAATGTTAAAAATAGCAAACAATGCATTCTCAAAGGCCGAGTCTCAAGCCTATGTTCTAAATCAACTCTTCCTCGGACACAAAGAGCACAAGAATGCTCTTGACCATATCCTTTGTTTCTTTCTCTTGCAATTTCAAGGATAATAAGCAATGTGTTTTCGAATATCAATGAAAGCCATACTCTAAATTTACTCTACCTCGGTCACAAAGAGAATGTCAATTATTTAATAGTCGATGAATACCGTTTCGATTCTCATTCCATGTTTACAGTCACCATTCAATCAGCCAACAATTCAATCAGCCAACAATCCAATCAGCCAACAATCCAATCAGCCAACACGATTCAACTCTGCATATCTTACTTTCGGATTTCATCCTACAAAATGAAGTCGAAGTGGCCAGCGGGAGTGGGCGCAGGACCAGAAAGACGTTTGTGGAATCGACTTGGCGGTCTCTATTCGAACCTCCAGGCCCGAGCTGTTGTAATGAACATTATTCGAACAGTTCACAACCACGAGCAAGGTATACATCTCTCTACCAATGGGAACCCTAATCATCTTTTTCACTCGCATCACCGTAGAAATGGTATAGTTACTGGGCTCATCGCCCAAATACCCAATCTACCGGCATCTATTCAAGGTCTTCCTCAAGCTGACCTTGTTGATGCTATGCGAGATCTTATTCGGTTCTACCGAAGCCATGATCCTCTCAATTGGGGACTCCCTGCACCGAACATCCCCGGCTGGCTGCCACCAGTACCAGCACCTGCACCAGTACCTGCACCCGCACCAGTACCTGCACCCGTACCCTTACCTGCACCGGCTCCAGTACCAGCTCCAGTACCAGCTCCAGTTCCAGCTCCAGTTCCAGCTCCAGTTCCAGCTCCAGTTCCAGCTCCAGTTCCAGCTCCAGTTCCAGCTCCAGTTCCAGCTCCAGTTCCAGCTCCAGTTCCAGCTCCAGTTCCAGCTCGCGCTCCAGCTCGCGCTCCAGCTCCAGCATTACCACTAGCACTAGTATTAGACCCAGCACTAGGCCCAGCACCAGACCCAGGACTAGCTCCAGCTCCAATTCCCTCACCGATAACACAATCTCCATCAGGGTCAGTCAAACGGGGATTGGATGACACAGAGAAAGATGGTTATGACCTTCCAGATCGAAAGAAGCAGAAAGTGGCTATGCCAGAGTATCCAGACTTGCCAGATCCGGCGATACTACCTGTTCTAGGGCAAGAGGCTATCCTACGAATGAAAGCACCGCTGGAGAATGTTGATATGGAAGAGGAATCTGAGGAAGAAGAAATTTATTACACATGAACAGGGGAAGGAAGGTAAGACTAAGCTTTTTCCCAATGGTCCACAGTCTGATCTGCTTTCTGATCTAGGGGAAAGATTGTTTGCATACAACCACAGCGACATCAAGGACCACCGCAGCCTATTTGCATTTGGGGAGTTTTTCTAACATCATTAGTCATGTCCAAATACCAGCAAGAGATTACATACTGCTCGAGCAATTACTATCCGTAAAGTACCCATTGACGTAGCACGTTGTCCCCAGATATGTAACTTGATCCCAGGAGCTACATAACTCCCATTAGCATCTAAATCGTCATAAACCAGTAACAAACCTACCAAATCCCATTGAAGCAATCGCCATGCTTCCAGCACGCAAAGGTGAGTTTATCTCCCTTAGGAAATCCAAAGATTGCGCCTGCATCTAATTTCGCATCGTACCGGCAGTTGACATAGTTGTCGACATTGACGATTTTGCAAGTCCGCGCTGATGCGCGCTTTTCAAGGTTCAACTCTCCGTCGGCTTCGGCTTCGGCTTCGGGGTCCGCGACGGGGGCAGCGGCGGCCAGGAGGGGGAGGAAGGTAACTGCGAGACCGAGGAACTTCATTGTGTTTCGTTGCTAGCTGACGCTTGTTCTATCATGAGAAACCCTTGCAGAATGATGGTGTACTTATACATTGGAATTTTCATGTCCTCGTATTGCCCAGTCCACTTCCTCGTGTTCTGGCCCCATGCTGCTATTCATAGGCAAGTAGCGCGATTTATCCGAGGTTGCATTCTCGTATCCAGTTATAGAACCCCTTAAGCTATCTAGGAAGCAAAAGTTATTCTGGTTGAGTAACATTCCTAGAAATTCATTGTTCAGAGTAATAAATAAGAGCTATTTATAGTAAAGAACGAAAAGGTTATCACTACTAGCTACAACCACTATAGCACCTCATCTGGCAATTTGGCATCCTGACAAGCCACCCCCAGATATTATTTATAGCGCCAATTATAAGGAGCAAGTTGAAATCCTTCTTGGGCACGGAGCATTTCGTATCCGACCCTTTTTTAGTCTCATTTCCGTCCTTGGCGGCTAAATCGATTAACTCGCCCTTACACCTGAAAAACGAAGAGGCCATGTCCTCCACAATCCCTGAATTATAAGATCATGGACTCGGATTATGCGCAAAACGTCCTCATAAAAACCCTGCAGAAAGGTGCTATACCCAATCATGTTGCATTCATTATGGATGGCAACCGGCGATATTCAAAAGTTCATGGTATGACAATTGCAGAAGGACTCTTTCGGGGGTCCCAAGCCATGACAAAGGTATGGCTCATGCTGATACCATCGTAATCAGTTGTTAATGCTGACATGCAAAGGTCGTGGAGAGATGTTTTCTGTTAGGTATACGAGGCGTCACATTGTATACATTCAGCATTGAAAACTTCAAAAGGCCGAAGGAGCAGATCGATCCAGTTATGGAGGTACTTAAATATCTGTTCATCAACTATGCCCAGCCAGGTGGACTATTAGAGCAACATCGGTGCACGATGAGGGTGCTGGGTCGGCTGGATTTGCTCGATGATGATATGAGGGAGACGATCGACATAGCTACTAAACAATCTTGTCACCAAACGAAGAGATTTCTAAATGTATATCTGGCATATACGTCGCGCGATGAAATTGCCCGCGCAGTGCGAGTGTCAGCAGAAGAATGTTGTCGGGGAAAGATTTCTCCTTCAGCTATCACAGTCCAGTCACTGGCAGCTCGAATGTATGCAGTCGATGATCTTCCGGTAGATCTTCTTGTTCGGACATCGGGAGTCCGCCGAATGAGTGATTTTCTACTCTGGCAATGCCATCAGGATACTGATATCCAGGTTGTGGACACACTCTGGCCGGACTTTGGCTTACGCGATCTTTTCTTTGTGATCGTACGGTGGCAAAGGAATCAATACCGTGTGGACTTGCAGAAACCAAGCATTAGTTTCCTTGTGACTTGCTTCATTATTGTGTTTTTGTCGTTATCATCATGGTTCTATTCCTATTAAGCTTGAGTAAGGTCTCTTGAATGTGACAAATAGTCCAAATGAATTGCATAGTCTTCGAATCGAAAATACAAACCTTTAGTCTTGTTCGGGTTCCAGCTCGGGGATATTCGAAAAAAAAAAAAAACTCTCCTGTCTTTGTTATTGGTAAGACTCTTATCTTGCGCTGTGATTGGGCAAGATGTCTTTAATGGCCTGATATTTCAGGCCCAAGTTTATCCCGGTAGAATTGGGCAGAATCTTGGCTTGGCCAATTTTATCCCTCTTGAGATCAATTAACAATTCACTTTTCGTTTTTATCGGCTCAAATCAGGCAAATAATTTTGACACTAGAAAGACTGCCTCGGCGATTATATATTGCTGGTCCATTGGCTCATAGGTTGCCGCAGTCATCGAAGTGCAACGTCAGTCCCTACCTGCCACGTTTGGGCTCGATTAGGCAAGACATACACATTCCCGAGTTCCTTCCGTATTAGCTCAGTGTACACGAAAGAAAACGAGTCAATTTCTCTTCTATCATGGATTCTTCCCCGGCCGTTGAAAAGGTATTCGTCTGTCCTGGATGTCAGAGAGGTGGCTTCAAAAGCCTTGGCGCCGTGAAGGCTCATTTTGAGTCCAAAGGCCACAAACTTGCTTGTGCGCCATGTGACATATCTTTTGGAAATGTTACAGCGTTGCTTAAACACTCCCAAAAGCATGAAAAGCCCCTAGATGGCTCCGATATCAAGTCGCTCAAGTCAGCAAAACCAGCGCCAAAGATCACAAAGCAGCAGAACGTCCCGCAGGTTTCCGAGATCTTGTCTACCAAACCTACAAAATCAGCCCCGAAGTCTGTGAAATACGACAAGTACCAGGATCTGTCTGAGTCTTTTGTCAAGCCTGCAAAGCCATCCTCAAAGACCTCAAAGCATGTCAAGACCCAGGATCTGTCTGAACCTTTAGTCAAACCTGCAAAGCCATCTCCAAAGGCAGCGAAACATGAAAAGTCCCAGGTTCATTCCGAGCCCTTGCCTGTCAACCTTGCGATATCCGCTGCAAAGAAAACAAAGCTTGAGATGTCCCAGGATCTGTTTGAGGCTTTGTCTGCCAAACCTGCGAAATCTGCTCCAAAGAAAACGAAGCATGAAAAGTCCCTAGATCGCTCTGATATATTGCCTGCTAAGCCTGCGAAATCAGCTCAAAAGCGCACATCAACCCAGGCCCCGGTACGTGCTCCATTGAGGTCAGACGGTCTTGAAGACCTGTGGAACAAGAGCTCTGAGCCTGAACCCCCGAGTCCCTCATCACCCGCCATCAACAATGCAAATTACCATGCTATCCTCGAGCCGCTCGAACAAGACTTGATCTTTCGATACTTGTCGGCACGGTGTCACTCGGACACCCGTCTGATCACAAGAGGGTTCACATTTCGGGCTGGCCTAGCAGACGTCAGCAGACGCCCGTCGAAGAAACCGCCTCCGAAGACAGGACATTTCCGCCAAGTTCCTCGCTCCTCGGACGGATTGCCGAAAAGGAGGGCAATCGTGCTCGACTGTGAGATGGTGCAAGTCGAAGCAGGGCGTCGGGAGCTTGCATTTTTGTGCGCAATTGACTTTTTGACCGGTGAGATTCTCATCGACAATTATGTGCAGCCGAAAATGAGAGTCGTGAATTGGGATTCTCGTTTCAGCGGCGTGACTCCCGGTGCCATGAACAAGGCTGTCAAGAAAGGGACAGCGTTGAACGGCTGGGAAGGAGCGCGCTCGAAATTATGGGAGTTCATGGATAGCGAGACTGTCCTAGTTGGCCATTCTCTCAACAATGATCTTGATGTCTTGGGTATCATTCACTGGAACATTGTTGACTCGTCCATCATTACCAGCGAAGCGGTTTTTTACACTGTACACGCTGGTGAACCACTCAACCGCACATGGAGTCTGAAAACTCTTACCAATGAATTGGTCAATTATGATATCCAGGTCGGCAAACAGGGCCACAGTGCGCTAGAGGATGCACATGCAACGCGGGATATTGTGATCTGGTGTCTAAGATACCCAGAGCATCTGAAAGTATGGGCTGATAATGCCCGGGACCAAGAGGAGGTGCGCGTTTACGAAAGGGAGTTGAAGAGGACGACTGAAGAGCAGGTGAAGGAGCAAAAGAGAAAACATGATATGGAGATGAAGATCCAGATGTTGTCCCGTGGCGTTTCTGGTTTGGATGTTCATGCCATTAACCTGTCTGAAGATAATGCTAATGACCCTGATTATTCTTTCGCCGACCATGATGGTGATGATGTTGAACACGAACCGGTAACTATTGAAGCGGCCGCAGCTTCATTCTTTTGATACTCCCATGTCTATACAGGTTATATGTCTATACAGGTAATTATCTGTTAATTATTATGTTACATGACAATTCAATTACAAGTGCTCAGTCGTGCAATCACTGAGCTATTCGCTGTTACTATTCCTTGTCTTATATATTTGACATGTCCCCGCAATGCAATCCGACAAGAGTGAATTCCCACAAAATCGATGCCACGCAGGCTCATGACCTTCACAAGACATAATCTCACAACCTGGAGGCACTGTTATATACAGTGACCGCTGTCTCCATCGACACAGTTCGTGTCTCCCCAGCAATACTTACAGAGATCTGCCATATTATCGAGTGACTCAGCCTGGTATTGAAAGTGACAAAACTAGGCTGAATGCTAGCCAGCCGACTGAGACACCTCCCATCACTCATCAGACCATCATTTCTAAGAACAAGCCGAAGCACCCTTCCAATATCGACCGGTGTATCAGCTGGCCCAGCAAAAGTCACAACAGGGTCCTTAAGCTGCTCAAACGCTTTCTCCAGACCCAATTGCTGAACAAAAACATATTCATCATCAGGAACCCTATAAAGGCTCTCGACGGTCGGTTGAAGAACAATCTCAACCTTCGAAAGAATAGTCATCTTAATCGCAGTAACATCGACCCGTTGCACAACATCCCAAATAGCACTACTACTCCCCTCCCGCTGCGGAATAATCCTGATAACAAGCGGAATCGGTGATGAATTATTAAGTTGAATAGCAACCGGCACACTCATCACAACTTCAAAGCTGAATCCGGGAACAGAAGCTAACCCAAGAATCTTCTGCGTTCTCTGCATCAAGGATAAATCCACATCCCGCATCCACGGAAGCAATCGCTGACTGCGCACCCGGCTCACAATGCTACACCGCTGCTGCGCAAACCAGATCTCATCCGCGTCTACTGTCGGGTAGCCCAGCGTGATGGGTGCTGTGGCACGTTCGACCTGCCACGAGCCATTGTGCATATACTGCAGCTGCGCCTGAACATAGTACTCGATGCAGACCTTGGCTCCGGTCCATTCGGTGGAAAACGATCCCGGTAACGGGTGTTGTGCGATGATGTTTGCCTCTAGTGAGATGAAGCTCTCTTCTTGTGCGTGGTCGTGGATTGTTGATAGCGAAGCTGCTTCGGGGATATTGATTGAGAAGGGGATGTTGATCCAGTCGGTTTGGGTGCTGGGTGAGGGTATGTGGATAGGTCCACGTAACAATGTTTGTGGTAGGTTAAAAAGCTCCCAGTCGCCGTAGTATGTTGTTTTCGATGGATAGCCAGCTGTTATTAGGCGGGCTTTTGTGCGTCCGATCAATGTGACTGAAATCTTAGCGTCCGGGGTCACGATGTGCAAGTGGCGATTCACGCTGCCGATTATGGTGTCTCCTGCGACGTATGTCCATATTGGAGGTGCTGCAATGTATATATTGAGGTTAGAGCCTCCAGTTGTCTGGATAGGATGCATGGCTTCATAGTAGTTGAAGGCGAAGTTCTTTGAAAGAAATTTAGTTAACCCATGAATTTCTTACATAACTCAGAGGGCAGGGGTCAAGCTGTTACCAAATAAGGCAGTTAGTGTTCATAACAATGGATTGCAAGTTGCCGAGATCCTCTACAAGGGTAGTCCTCGTCCCATGGAGTAGACAGGGTAGTTGGCGGAAGGCGGGGGCGAATTCAAATAGTACTTCACCTGGTATGATATACTAGTGTAGGTGAATGTAGGTAAATCTTGTTGACATCTTACTATTTGGAGCCTATACGCTCATGTTGACCTCGACTTCGCTTGCCAGATATTATGTAGTCACATCGTTCTCCAGGGCTCCCTTACGCTAGTCCCTATCTGGTAGACCAGAAGAGCCCTGGAGCTACCTCAGACTTTGTCAGGCTTGGAATCTGAGATGTAAACTTTGAAGAACAAAGTAGATCTTAAATATAACTGATATTACCTTGGGTCAACTGGATCAAATTATGTCTGCTGTCAGAAACAGAAACTGCATCAGCGGCCGACTCTACAGGGTTTACTCCAATACCAAGCATCAAAAGCAAAAAATACGGGTATCAAATTCGCACTCGAGAGCAGTGCATACATACAACCTCCTCTCACATACAAGTTTCATACATATAAGTACAGTTCCAAGGCAAGATCGAAGGGTCGAGCAGGGGATGCTCGATCAAACCCAGATAATCTGCAAGACACAGTAACAAAAAGGATACACGTCGAAACAATTCCAAGATCACTATGCGCCCGCCCAGACGCCGTGTAAAAATAAAAGCCAATCCCAGACGCCGTGTGCATCAATGATGCAGAATGTGTATAGTCATAGCCATCAGGGACGGAGGTAATATCAGCATGTGAAGGATAAAAGTAAAGTAAAGCGAGGTCGTTCCACGTATTCCCGGTGTACGCCCATGTACCGAGAGGGGAGGGTATCATGCAGTGTGAGACAATATTTCGAGGTAAGGGAAGGGGGTGATGCAGCATTCGTGAAGCTGGCGGTGAGATGTATCAATGATTGGCCTGCTGGATTCTAGCGGGCTTTGATTGGAGATTATTATGATTTTCGTGCTTTACAAAGCCATGACCGCCACCATTTGCAGACTCCAAGAACGGCAGTGCGGCCGTCATCCTTGCGCTCGGTGCCGTCAGGGTTACCCAGGACCATAGAGAAGATCCAGAAAAATGCGGCTGTCCATGCGAAGAGGAGGATCACAATACTGAATAATGGGGACAGGACCAGGACAAAAATTGAAGCAATCACGGCGTATATCTCGCTCGGCTGAGATATGACGGATTGCTGATCTGAATCTGGCTCTGAGCGGATCCATTGAGTCGATTGGGTCGATGATGATCGGTCTTCCACCGACGGTGGCTGCAAGCAAACGAGCCGTTCATGAATGTGGAGAACAGGAGAAAGGAGATCGCAAAGTTGTGATGCGAAGGTCGATGCGCGGAGGTAGGGGGAAAAGGAGCAGAGACGGAAAGGTGAGACGAAGAGGGCGAAGAGAAAGGCGAAGATGGTATATAGAGAAGCGCCGAATGAGTAGAACGGAACTATTGTGAGGCGAAACTACCAGTTTTTATTAATATATGAAACATTGAGCCGCCATACTGCCCACTTACTAGCATAAGAAGGGCATCTTGGCCCTCATTAGTGACTATTTCGTCATCTGGAATGGCTCGTTTTCGGACACGGATTATGCTGGGGTTGGAATGTTCCCCAGGCATCAATGAAGGCCGATCTGCCCAGCTGCTCTGGGCCCGCTCATCCTTGTGTGCACCACTTGATGTCGAGCCGGCCGGAACGGAGTCGATCTCTCGAGGATCTGAGCCGGGCCAGGAAAAGCCTCCCAGTGACTGGTTATGGTATATACGTTGTGCCCGTGAGCCGGAGGTGCGCGGACTGACATCGCGGCTCGGTATAGGAGACGAGGGTCGGGATCCACCTATTGGGTGACTCAATACAGAGGATTGTTCATGGGATCGACGGGTAGCCGGTGGAGGGGTGACGATCGAGCTGTGAGGGTGTGCCGTTCCAAGAGGTCCTTGGTCCTGATAGTAGGCAGCACTATATGACATCTCCGGTGACCGCATGGCCGGCGAGGAAATAATGGCAGGATATAGAGACGAAGCAAGAGTCGTACAAGGTAGACGCACAGAGGGCGACTATTGCATGTAGAATTCACCACATGATTTCCGAAATCGTAGTCTTTCTAGCATAGGGAGCTCTTGACAAGTCGGGGGAGGAAGGGGGCGGGCAGGAAGGGCGGAAGAGAGACTTATAAGAGACCACGGAGAACCGCAGCTAGAAAGAGCGGAAAATCCAGGAAAGCCCAGAAAAGGCCGTGCAAGACAGCGGAAGAGCATTTCTTGCTGTTTGCAATCCCTCTCGCCAAGACGCCCAGATGCCGAGCCCTTGGCATTGGGTCGAGCCTTGTATGGGGTACAAGAATCATTTGCGGGCATCCTGCCGATCGTTTTATCTCAGATCCTAATTATGACCATCTAGGGCGTACTCGATAACAGGGTAGGGCTGTGTCGGACAAGATGTGAAGTCGTCCTACCATGAGACAAAGATGCTAAGTGGCCTAAGGGTGAGAGGTGCAGATGAATTACGAGATTTTACCACCCGCCAAGGCGCCAAGCAGCCATCGGGGATGATAAGTAACCAAATACTGGCCTTTGATTGGTCAAATGTGATGAGATGATCCGCGCTGAGACGAAGCCTGGAGACTTGGCGGTAACAGCTGTACGCACGTGATGACATGTATTGCTCCTATTGCCCAATCTATATAATCTTGGAATCTTCTTACATTGGAAAAAGTACATAGACAGGCTTTATATATTAAATTCTATGTGATTTAGTACTTAAACCCCCCTATAGAACTTCAAATTGCACTATATACATATGTAGCTGCCTAAACCCAAATCAGGGGCAGAGTACCCCCAAGGGCCAAGGGTCAGGTGCCCAGGTGCCGAGAGGTTGGCGGGTGTTGGCATTCAAGTTCGGAGAAATAATTTTCAGTATTGTCCAATATCTCTTACCTAACTTCGGTCAATAGTCTGCTCCAGGTGCATAGTATTAGCCAAAATAAATACCTCTCTTGATCCTCCTGCTAGATATCTAACCCTGACAGAAAGTCTTGGAAGTATTGACTTTCCGGTACTCTCATTCCACTGTTCTGTTGAGATGAATCCGATCAGCTCGGCGAATCATCGCCTCTGACATCCACTTAGATCTCAATTTTTCTTTCTCTCCGACGAGAGCTCAACTCTTGGCTTGTAAGTTTTCTCTGTTTGAATTCCTGGGCACCGTATACAATCCCGTGTTCTCTGCTTGGCTGAGCGGTCAGGAGCGACTGATTGCGTGTTCTTTGCTCGGCAACCGTAACGTTTCCTGGCTCCCTGTCTAGTCTGCTGTTTTTCTTTATTTACGGCTGCGCGCTGTCCATAACTCCCCTTGGTCGTCTCCCGTTACTCTGCTTTCCCTCGAATTCAGGCCGTGATCAACTAGTCCACTGGTATTACCACTATCAGCCAAGCACGCAATGGCATGGCATGACAATGACAGGTGGCGAGTGTAGATCAATCATTCCCCCAAACTTGGGCTCTGTTCTAAACCAGTCACCCACCATGAGACCAGCCTGTTCATGCGCCGGCTATGAGTTACCCACGAAAATGATCGACGCTTCCATATATCTCAAGTCTCACAGCTATCCGATCGACATAATTATCTACTCGTCATCTTAGGCCGACCTAATTGGAAATTCATCGCATATTCCCCTAGGAGATGACCAGTACAACCTAGTATACGAAGGCATTTTCCTCCCTTAACTACCCGCAAAGCTGAGGTCGGTGTCTCCAACAAGAATCCCATTCGAGCAGGTCTCCTTCCTGGCTCTTCACGAGGAACAAACCGCTCCCTACGACACATACCTGACCTCCTTCGAGGCCTTAACCGGCATCCATACAGAGTAGTTTTCACTAATCCTTACAGCACGCTATCTATCAGCCGCAGGCTCATCGAACTCCACAACGAACCTCGACCCCATCGAACGCTTGAATGGCATAATGGATTGAAGAGGTGGAATACAGAAGCCAGGAAATGCTTACTGCGGCTGCTACTGAGGTTCTGAATGCCATTCCGCTGATCTTCGCCAATCTTAACAGTACGTACATATCGGCAGAGCTGGCGCATGCTTATGGGCCCGATCCTCGATCGAGTACTTACAAACTCCTGCATCATGCTCAAAGCTCTGATACCTGCTTATCTAGGGCTATTTGCTGCACATATGTTTTCTGGGCCCCGTCCATCCTCGCGTGACTCCTTTACTTAACTCGTACATACTAACCAGACTGGAAATCGTCCAACTTGGTAAAGTATCTTCCTGCATCGTAATGCATATAGAATCCTGATCGATTCCCGTTGTCAATTTAGCAGGAAATGGAGTTGGAAGCTCGGCTCTCAGTGGATCATCATGGCTAAGACTCTGAACCCTTCAGGCGCCCAGGTAGTCTCTCCCCTAGTGCTTCGTAGTATACGTTTTCTATATACCAATGCCTTGCAAGATCCAATGATTCACACCATTTTCTTGAAGCATAAAGAAATACGCCGCAAATAGAGTTTTTCATTGCAGACCCCAAGTCATATGTGGTCACGTGTCCATTAGGAAGGTTGACTTTTGGGCAGCAAAGTTGCCAGAAAACGAGATTTGGGCTTTTATATGCTTTGTCTTTGTTGTCTAGTGTAAATTTGTGGTGCTCCGCAGAAAGAAACGGTGTGTATATGTGGCTGTCCAAAAATATAAATATAATCAGTGTATACCGAGTGTTTGTCAAAATATATATAATGCTAAGCAGATACTTTGAATGCAACAAGCGATCCAAAAAGAAAAAATCAACTTGAAGATAGATTACTCAAATATCCAGCTCTATAAATAATCCCTCAGTATTTATGTATCAACAGATCCCACCAAAATCCAAGTACCCCAATTTGTGGCTGACGGGGTCTTGCAGCCACAAATGAACAAGATGTGATGGGCTAGATTTGGAAGCTAACCGGCTCAGCCCACATCAATAACTGCTTGGTATTATTGGCTTAGTACCTGAGAAGGACCCGCGCTCAAGGCTTGAGCCCGCCTGGGGTAACCATGCAACCATAAGAACATGAGACCCTCCTGAGCGCCTAAAACCACCTAACGCCAAATGATAAGCATCAGCGTCTAGACAACATATATGGCCAGACTTATATACCCCGTGTCTCATCACCAACACATAGCAACACTGACATGTTACCCGACAGAAAGTACCTGACACAAGAAAGCATCTGTGCGCCCCCCACGTCCTTGAACCACGCATCTGCATAGCCCATTTGGAAATGGCGCACTCTCAGGCCAATCTCCCCACGATCCGTATCTTATCACTGATCGGGGAGGTTAGAAATGGACGCATCTCTTTTGGCATTTGGTTGTCGAGGTCACACAAATCGAACATCTGTGTCCCAACTAGCCCGGTCTTCAATCCCTGCGCTCTGCACTATCAAGTCTTGGCAAGACATGACTTTGAAACTTATATTTTCTTTTTTTGTTGACTTTCAGTTGCCTTGCTTTTTTTTTTTCAAAATGTCCTCACTTTTATGACCTGACTACCTCGGGGCCCCAGCGTTGACGCATATTATATTCACTGCGAGGCAAATGGTGGAGGCATCGAGCATCGTTGCCCGTGCAGACAAGCCACGCCGGAGGAGAAGTCAATTTGTCATGAAATAGTATGAAGTACTTAGGTGGCTTTGGCTGCCGACACTCTTCCGTTCAACTTGGAAGCGCCAGTGATTACTGCAATGTTAACTCTAGCCTTGTTGCTGGTACCCCCTACCTCGATTCTAACTCTGGAATCGTGTCGCACGGTCATACCCACGTCGGAGCATGGCGTCTGCAAATTCCCGTCGCAGGGGTGTCAGTTCTTACTATTTATTTACGGTCTCAGGATCAACCATAGTCTCCACAGTGGACACAATGATGGGACCCCAGTGTAGGCATGCGCACGGCTGATCTGTCTCTAGTCGGGTCATTGCCGTAATCCCCGGGGAGCTTTAGCTTTTGACATGCTTCCGAGATTTGCAGCAGTTATTTGTTTTGATTGTGTAGTGACTAAGGCTTGGCGAGTGTCCAAGGAGAGGGAATGAGAGATAAAGAAAAAGAAATGGGTTAAATGGTAAAATATGTTTAGCGCGAGTGACAGGTGTTTTTTTTTAACTCGGTCGGCAAGTTAAAATGATAGCGGATGTGCAACCCAGATCTATAGAAACCATACGGAGTATACAATCTTATACAACATATAAGACAATTGGCTGACCTCGGGAGGCTGGGAAACCCCCCGTTTCACGGCAGAGACAAAACGGCTCGGCTAGCAAACCCTGAAAAATGAGGCCCACGCACAAGTGGAGTTGGGAGGAAATATAAGGTACACATGGTGACATGTTCATGTATAATTCTATACTTAGTTGTAAATGTACTTTTGTAATAGGGGACAGTTCATACTCTGTACACCGTAGGGGAATTCAAAAGGCGTCACAATTGTCACATCCGGGAGTCTCCACTGAAAATGTCAAGATCGCATCCACAGGTCACTAGCCACAAGCACAAGACCTGTGGCTGAATTAAAATGAAAATAAACTGTGGATACGCTAAGCCGCTTAAAGCGGGAACAATAATGACGGAAGGGGCGAATATGCAAGTCAAGGTACCCTGCATGGTACTTTGACAAAATTCATGGGTTAAGAAGGGGGGGGGGAAGGAAATTGTACAATATAGTCCGGAGAAAAATGATGGGAAAAAAAAGGGAGAGGGGACACAAGGTCACTCGACAGCTGCATCCTGCACAATTCCGGGTTTGGTCTATGTTAGTGCCTATTGACGTATACAAAATTAGCTTATATATTTTACCGAATACGGATGATAGGTCATCGAATAATAAGCAGAGAAAAGTAGAATTATTTCCGGAGGTGGTCTCCGCTATCATTTGACGGAGGATTAAGTACGGAGTACTAAAGTGCTGGGCAAAAGGGGGGGGGAACAGGGATCTGAGAAAAAGCCAATGCGGCTGCACGGCCCTGTGGGCTACACCACGGAGCATAGTCGCACTAACGCACCTTAGAGGCAACCACGGGGGTAGTCTCCACTTGGCGTCTTTTACCGGAGGTTCGTGGGTTCGTGTTAGGGATGGCATTTTATTAATACACAGTGAGAATTAATTATGAGAATTATTATAAGTTGCATGTATTTATAGAGTAAATAATTCTAACCCTTTGTATAAGCTTAATTTTTCAATAATGGGTGTGTTTTGAAGTTGGAGCTCCAAAAAAAGAAAAATGGGAATAAAAAAGAGAAAAAAAGCAAAAATGGGAAAAATAAATGAAAAGGAAAAAATGACAAAACGGAAAATAAAAAAAAAAAAAATAAAAATAAAAATAAAAACGAGCATAACCGCCTCCAGATCTTTCTCCACAACGCTAAGCCGTTCCTGAGCGTCAGCTTGGATTAGATAATCAATTGTGACGGCCGGGAGCTACGCAACCACTAGCGTCTCTTGGCAAATTTCACCTTTCCTGCCAGCCCCTCGACTCTTCCCTCTCTCTTCCCCCCTTAGGCTTTCGGATCATCTTCAATTCTGACATCCCCTTTCCCCACTGTATCGCATTGTATCTTCGCCTCTTTCTTCAACATCTTATTTTTTCCATTCTACCTTCGCGCCTCTAGCTCTACATAGCTGTGACCTCACCCGCTGTCCCCCGAGATTGTGTCACTGCCATCTCGCGCCACTCATTTATCTTCGGAAAAGCGCCAAGGTCCAGTCGATTTTGGAAAAAAAAAATAACTGCCACCCTTCACTGCTGGATAGTGTCGCGTGAGGAACCTTCATTTCTTTCGCGACCTGTCTTTTTTTTTCCCTTTCTCTTCGCCCAGTCGATCGGAAATTGCGCCTCAGAATTGGCGTGCAACATCAAAGACTACACTTGATCGGTGTCAAATAGTGGTGTAAACTTATATTGCATCATCGTGTCGCAAACTCACTTCGAGAGTTCGGTCGCGACACGGTTCAACTCAACCATATTCACGATTCTCGGGAACCATGTCTCATACTCAACCATCACCTACCGCGGGTGTAGCTCCTCACCATGCGGCAGCGCATCTCGCACATGCGCAAGCGCAGGCACAAGCCAATGGTCATATGTCCGCGCTCCCTGTTCAAGGTCAAAAGGGAGTCCCTGCTCTCACAACCGCACAGAAGATCGCCACACTCAATGAACAAGTCTGGCTTCAAATAGGTAAGGGTTTCCGGTCATAGACTGGTAGATGGCGGATGCTAATAGTCTCGTGTGTAGGAAGCTTGACCGAATTGATGGGCGACCTGGAGGGTGCGATGAATGCCTATGAGCAGGCCCTGCGTCACAACCAGTGGTCTATCTCAGCCATGAACGCCATTTCATGCATCCTACGGACAAAAGAGCAGTTTCCCAAAGCGATTGAGTATTTGCAAAATATTTTGAAGTTGGATCCGAGCAATGGAGAGACTTGGGGTAGCTTGGGCCACTGCCATCTTATGATGGATAATCTGCAAGAGGCATACACCTCTTACCAGCAAGCCCTGTACCACTTGCGTGATCCCAAGGTAAGCTGTTTCCCCCTCACATCTTGTCTGAAATACCAGTCACTGACTCAATTTCCCTCACTAGGAACCCAAGCTGTGGTATGGAATTGGTATCTTGTATGATCGCTATGGTTCTCTGGATCATGCGGAAGAGGCTTTCTCGCAAGTGATGCGCATGGCGCCCGATTTCGAGAAGGCCAATGAGATCTACTTCCGCCTAGGAATCATATACAAGCAGCAGCAGAAGTTTAATCAAAGTTTGGAGGTATGTGAAATCTCTTGGTATGGGACTTGAGCTGTGACTAATCCATCACAGTGCTTCAAATATATCGTTAGCGATCCCCCGCGTCCTCTGACCGAAGAAGACATCTGGTTCCAGATTGGCCATGTTCACGAGCAACAGAAAGACGTGAGTCATGCTTCCTCCCACTCTTGATTCTTACCTTGTACTCATGAAACCCTTAGTTTGAGTCTGCTCAATCTGCCTATCAGCGCGTCCTTGAGCGGGATCCAAATCACGCGAAAGTTCTCCAGCAACTTGGATGGCTCTACCACCAGCAGAGCAATGCATTCCAAAGCCAGGAAAAAGCCATCCAGTTTTTGGAGAAGTCTGTCAATGCTGGTAAGTACATTTCAATCTCCCATTTTCAATTGCATACATTGAAACTAATCAATTCTTTCACCAGATAACAATGACGCTCAAAGTTGGTATCTCCTCGGTCGTTGCTACATGTCCATGGCGAAATACCCCAAGGCGTATGAAGCCTACCAGCAAGCGGTCTATCGCGATGGTCGCAACCCTACCTTCTGGTGCTCGATTGGTGTTCTTTACTACCAGATCAACCAATACCGCGATGCTCTGGATGCCTACTCTCGTGCCATCCGCCTGAACCCTTACATTTCGGAAGTTTGGTACGACCTAGGCACTCTGTACGAATCCTGCAACAACCAGATCGCCGATGCCCTGGATGCATACGGACGTGCCGCAGACCTTGATCCGAGCAACGTTCACATCAAAGCTCGTTTGCAGCTGCTTCAGAGTCAGTTGTCTGCTGGCACAGCTGGACAACAGCCGCCCACTGCCCCCGCGCCTCAGCCGCAGGATGTTCATCCTCAGGCTTACCAGGCACCCGGCGTTGGTGCACCTCCAGCTCCTCAATGGGGTGCCCCAGCCCCCATCGGTCCCCCTCCACAGGCTCCTGCTCCCCCAAGACAGATTCCTGACTGGAACCGTGGTATCAACGAGCTTCAGTCTCAGAGCCAAGGTCCCCCATCCAACGGTCTTGACCAACGCGATGCTCGGATCCCCGGTGCGCCCGCTCAAAGTCCCCGACAGGAGGCAGGTCGGGCCTTCCCGGATCCCCGTGGCGCGCCTCGCTCGCCAAAGATGGGTGATCCCAATGCCTACCCACCGCCTCACACCTTGCCCCAGCTCGGAAATGCTCCTGCTCCAGGCCACGAACGCGCCCCTAGCGGCGGCAATACCTTTGGTGCCCCGCGAGGTGCTATGCCGACTGGCCTGCCCGTCGCTCCTCCTGGTCCTCCTGGTCCTCCCGGTCCCAATGGCGGTGCTCCTCCTTACCAGAATCGTCCTTTCAGTCCTGCTCCTGAAATTCGCCCTATTCGCGATGAGCGTCCCTCTTCCCCAGGCTCAGGATACCCTCTCCAACAGTTCCACCCCGGTCCTACCCTCCCCCCACAAGTTCCAGGCGGTAATTCCATCGCCTCCGGTGCTCCGGCCCCTCCTTCAGCTGCTACTGCTGCTGAGGCTGCCGCCCGTGATCGCGAAGATCGCCCCCCATCTGCCATGAAGCGCGGCCGCGAATGGGAGGCTGATACTGGTCCAGTCAAGAAGCATGAAAATCAAGAGAGCCGTGCTCGTCTGGATGACCAGACTAGCCGCCGCCCAAGCCCACCCGCTCGTTTGCCTTCTCCTGGTGAGATGGAACGACGGAGCTCCTCGGAGGCCCGCCGCGAGGACGCCCGTCGTGCCAATGAGAACTATCACCCCTCAGAGGCTGCTCACCACCCTCCTACTCTGCCTTCCATTCAAGACATGCCTCCCCGCCCTTCTGCTGGTCCCAGTCTTCCTCCGATGGCTGAGGGCGCTGCCCCGCCAGCTAACGCTCCCCCCTCTGCACCTCCTTCCGCCAACACCCCAGTCAAGGAAGAAGCTCCTCGCCCTGAGGCTCCCCCTGCTCATGAGCCACCCGCGCGCAAGATGGACGTCGATGAAGACTATGATGATGAAGTTGAGGAAGAGAAGAAGGCTGTTGCTGCTTCCAAGGGTAGCCCCAACGGCAGCGCTGCTGGCAACTCCGCTAATGGTGCCGGCAATGCCCGTGCCAGTACTCCCTCCAAGGTCGAGCCTACAGCATAAAAAAATGTTCCCTCTTCCGACCAGACTAGTGTGATCTGGTCAAATGTGGCAAACCCAAATCTCTCGCTTCCTTGCTCCTCCTGTCCTTCCTATCTTTCAGTGTGTGATGTACGGTATGAATGTGCGAGTTACGATGACTACCTGGTTTCAAGCGCGTGCGCTGAATACTCGTCATGTCTGTTCGTTCTCTTCTTATTTTATGATTTCTTAGTCTCTTTTCACTGTGAATTTTTTTTATGATGCATTAGGCATCTTTGAAGCAAATCATTTGTTTGATACTCTGGAATTTGGTAGAGTAAATTTATCAACGTCTCCCCTTTTTTTTTCTCACTCGAGTTGTATTAACGTAAAGATTTACGTATTTGGGCTTAGATTTCATTCCAGCCCACAATGTGGATGTCCTAAAAAACCATATTGCTGGCCGTTTGCCTTGGCAGCAGGGAGACCCATAAAAGTCTCCCAGGGGGCCGGAAAATCTGGATGGCACGTGATCATACCAGGGCTGGATTAGATAATTTGGGTTATTGTGGGGTGCCTCAGGCTCAGACACGCCAAGAGTCTCGCTTAGGTTAGCCCACACACCAAGCGTGCAAAATCAACTTCAACATTTCCAGATCGTCCTCCCACCACCTCGACGACTAACGATAACAGGGTCAAGATGTGAGTCTACCCAGATTGAAGATTCATATACAATCGCCATTGAATACAATTGCTGACCTGCTTTCGCTATTCAGGAGTCACCGGAAGTTCGAAGCGCCTCGTCACGGTTCGTGATCACCTTTTTCCTCGATATCGAAATTTCGAAATACCGAAATACGACCTCTGTGTGTGTGCAGTATACTGATTATATCTCCAGGCTCCCTTGCCTACCTCCCGCGCAAGCGCGCTGCCCGCCACCGTGGTAAGGTTAAGAGGTCAGTACATTCTGGATGAATTGGTGATTTATGGATTTGTGTGCTGAGACTTTTTTTTTTTGCGACAGCTTCCCCAAGGATGATGCCAAGAAGCCCGTCCACCTTACTGCCTCCATGGGCTACAAGGCTGGTATGACCACTGTCGTCCGTGACCTTGACCGTCCCGGTGCCAAGATGCACAAGAAGGAGATTGTCGAGGCCGTCACCGTCATCGAGACCCCTCCTGTACGTTTTTCCCGTTGTCTGCGAAAGTGAAGGAGAAGGAAAAACGACCGGGCCCTAACATATCTTTTCATTCTAGCTCGTTGCCGTTGGTGTCGTCGGTTACATCGAGACTCCCCGTGGTCTCCGCTCCCTCACCACCGTCTGGGCTGAGCACCTGAGCGATGAGGTCAAGCGTCGCTTCTACAAGAACTGGTACAAGTCCAAGAAGAAGGCCTTCACCAAGTACGCCAAGTCCCACGCCGAGAGCTCCGGTGCCTCCATCACCCGCGAGCTTGAGCGCATCCAGAAGTACTGCACTGTCGTCCGTGTGCTCGCCCACACCCAGATCCGCCAGACTCCCATCAAGCAGAAGAAGGCCCACCTTATGGAGATCCAGGTCAACGGTGGCTCCGTCTCCGACAAGGTCGACTTCGCCCGCAACCTCTTCGAGAAGACCATCGATATCGATTCCATCTTCGAGAAGGACGAGATGATTGATGTCATCGCCGTCACCAAGGGTCACGGTTTCTCCGGTGTCACCTCCCGTTGGGGTACCACCAAGCTGCCCCGCAAGACTCACAAGGGTCTGCGTAAGGTCGCCTGTATTGGTGCTTGGCACCCTAACCACGTCCAGTGGACTGTGGCCCGTGCCGGTCAGGACGGTTACCACCACCGTACCTCTTGCAACCACAAGATCTTCCGCATTGGCAAGGGTTCCGATGAGGGTAACGCCTCCACCGAGTTCGACATCTCCAAGAAGCAGATCACCCCGTATGTTCCCCCCCTGATCTTCTTTCTATGTATGATTTTAATCCTAACATTTCTTTAGCATGGGTGGCTTTGTTCACTACGGTGAGGTCAAGAACGACTTCGTCATGGTCAAGGGCTCCGTTCCCGGTGTCAAGAAGCGTGTTATGACTCTGCGCAAGACTCTGTACCCCCAGACCTCCCGCCGAGCCACCGAGAAGGTCGAGCTCAAGTGGATCGATACCTCCTCCAAGTTCGGTCACGGTGCTTTCCAGACCTTCGAGGAGAAGAAGGCCTTCATGGGTACCCTCAAGAAGGACCTTGTGGAGACTGTTTAAGATGTTTAAGCCTATGGTTGGCGGTAGTGCAACGTTTCATATTCAATAAAAAAGCGAATATCCTTCACGATTTGCATGTAGCTGTACATTGTCTATGTAAATTTATAAATATATTACAAGTGTATGTGGGAGCATTTTCTACATCAATTATTATCTCTATATTCTTGAATCAAATATAATTTTCCATCACATTTCCTTGCCATCACTTGATATATATCTAGTTCGGAAGTCTGGACGCACCCGAACTGTTGAACAATTTTTCTTACCTTTCTTAATTATTCCATAAATTTCATTACTTTCTCGAACACTCCTTCGATCTCTTTGTTTAAATATACTATTTTCCGATCTGACCAGCTGGTGGAACAAAATGCGCCAATCCAAGATCCATTGCGTCATCCCACACTTTTCCCTGACAGCTTCACCAAGAAAACGGGCTTTTCCAACCTCCTACATCCTACGATCAACCTTCCAAATCAAACATCCCCAAGCTCAATACCGTCTTCTACACAGTCTATATCGCCAAACGAGCCGAAGAACTCGCACCTCAAACACAGAGCTCCAAACCCACATCTTCCCCGCAACCTCAAGACCGCAAACCAACTCATCCCACCCCACCAAGTCCCCCTTCTCAACCACAACACAAATAATGTCGTCCGATGATGCCTACATGTCTTTTCTGAACAAAGCCAACGCGGATGTGAGTGGCGGCCAAGCCTCACAGCAAGGGGCCGGCACCATCAAAACCGAGACCGTGCACAGCTCCCTGTCAGTCCCAAAGCCGCTGCAGTCCGTGGACGCATACTACGTCTCCGATACAGATGAGCCCTTCGAGCCTGTGGCATTGAAATGGGATGGCGCTGCGAAGGGATCCTGGCCTAGTGCCGGTATGTCCTGATCCTGTTCCCTTTCCTAGTTCCTTCATATTTTGCATCCTCGATGGATCTTCTCCCTTGAAAACACAAGACAAAACATCCTAGAATCACCCTGCTAACTCCACCTCCCTCACTGCAGACGAGCTCGCCTCCCTGATTTCCTCAGATGCCAACCTGTCCAAGTCCATCTCCATTATAACCCCCTCCGACTTCGACCCGAACAATCAGTACGCCTCCGCCCTGGATGCTGTCCGCACCGCAGCTGTCGAGAAGGATTCTGGAGCCGATAAGTCTGCTGTTGAGCTGAAGGTCTACCGTGTTGAACAAACCACGACCCAGTGCGAGTACTGGGTTCTTGCACTACATGCGCCTGAGAGCCGTCTTGTCGGTTTGCGCGCTAAGGCTGTTGAGTCTTAGCTGTTCAAACTGTGTATTCATAATGGAGGGGTCTTTAGGAGTTAGTGTAGGACATAATCTGCTATTTGTTCTGTAGTTGTCTATTCTTATTAAGATATGATATTGGTATTATATGAGAAAGCACGAGATTTATTGGTACAGGTTTCTCACTGTCTTGATCATTGATATTGATATTACTGCCATAGAATGAAACAACCAGGGGCTTCATCCTCTCTTTCTCTTGGTGCAAGCCTCCTGACAGCTTCTTCCTTGTTCGGAATTTGCCGCATTCTTTAAGTCCTGAGACTTGGAGGTTTGGCAGGACGCGTGTCAATGACACGAAACAGGTTAAATTTAAATCTGGAGCGAACAAAGCTGTGGCAATCTTTCTATTTGGTCATTAAGCTTGTAATGTATTGGAAAGATCTACTATGTAGTAAATGTACATCTTGCGCTGTCGACCGGGGTCTCGGGCCATGTCTCTCATCTTCCCGGTTAGTTCGCCCTTCGCTTCAACAACTCCCCATCTATACGAACATTGAAGCAACTTGCAATTATTACTGTATCAGATTTACCCCATCTTCATGACAATGGCGATCTCTGAATTCCGACCAGCATTCATGCCGGGCCATTCCTCAGGGCCTGGGCAACGGGAATGCCGCACCCTAGAATAGCCCTACCCAGGGTGTGGGAACCTGTATAGGGCGTTAAACCTACCAGTCTACTTCAATCAATTGGGAGAAAAAAAAACCCATAGTCATACAAAAAAGCTCGCTTCAGGCCATAACAGAGTCTGAAACATTACTCTACTATCATCCACAGTCAATCATAAGACCTAGGGAGAGAGAGGTATAGACATACCACTGGTTGCCCCCCTTGGGTCTCTACCATTCCAGTCTTCTCGTGCACACAAACACGACCCCTCGGACCATCTAGGCTCTTCTTTTCTTCCGTGGTTTTGGCTTTCTTTCTCTGCTTAGACTCTGTCTCTTTTATCGTATCACAGAGGGACATTCGATGCTATTCGAACAGCTGTGTCCGTTCTTTCGCTAAAACATCGCACTCATCGGCTGTGCAATATACCGACTCAGGTCCTCTGTCCTTACCGTTAAGATACATAGCGAAGTCATTGCATGACGAACCGGAAGAAAGAACACACCATCACATCAGCCTGCCGCACGGATCCAACCAACGACTGATGCGAGAGGACTATTCTTGCGGCGGCAATAGAAGAGAGCAAGGATTCACCAGTGCAGAGCAGAGTGTGTTATACTTGTCCAACTAGAGACTTAAAAATCGATAATCAAATGTCGGACCACGGCTCTGACGCCTCAGAGGGCAAGGCACCGCCTCACATCCGACTAAACTCGGGCCGACAGGATCCTTTCTATGAGACAAATGACGGCTATGCGCCTCTCACGTCGCGGACATTTCCCCGGCCATTGACGCCACAGGTCCCAGAAACACCTACGCCGGTACGCTCTCGAGGGATGTCATCACCATACGGCGCATCAAATGTCCCCGAGTCCTCGGAATTCCTGTTGCCTCCAAAGTTGAGGCCTACACAGGGGCAAGGCGTGAGTGAGACTGATCGTCCTCGATCTCCGGACCGGTGGTCTGCGGCTCGCTCGAGTATCAGCTCTATGAGTTATGAGAGTTCTTTCCCCTTCGATCCGTTCCACGATTCGAGGGCGCCTTCGCATGCTGGTAGTGAGGAGTACGATGTCAATACGCAGACTGTGTCGGGGAAGTTCAATATCATGCCCACTGACGGGCTGTTGTTGTTCCCTGAGGATGTGGAGAAGGATGACTACTTGCATAACCCGGACCCGGCGGACAAGGATCGAGATTGTGATATCTGGAATCGACGGGGTGTCGTGAATGTCGGCAGTCTGGCGATTTTCACATTAGGTCTTCTGGTGCTTTTTATTGGTTACCCACTCATGTAAGAAGTTGGCTTATTTGACTGTCTCTCCCCTGGCTAATCATTAATTGCAGAACTTGGTTGGTGGGCTTCGCAAAACATCATCATGGTACATGCCACCCCGCAGACACTTTGTGTTTGGAAGTTGGGGAGCGACCATTGTTGCAAAACCTGCGCAAAGGCTTGATTGACCCAGACACACCGGAAGAGGCATATACCAAGAAAAACGCCAAGGGAAAGGAGATGAAGCTAGTGGTGAGTTGCCTGATAGGTCACTAATAATGACAAGTTGCTCATGTTCTATTGCAGTTCTCCGACGAGTTTAATATGCCCGGCCGAACGTTCTTCGAGGATGATGATCCGTTCTTCCAAGCAGTCGATATATGGTACGGAGTAACAGCGGACAAAGAGGTTAGTATAAACTGTGCCAGAAATACCGCTCAAACACTAACACTGTCTAGTGGTATGACCCCGACGCCGTAACCACGGCAGATGGCACCCTCCAGCTTCGATTCGACCACTTCGAAAACCACGGTCTCCACTACCGATCCGGTATGGTACAAAGCTGGAACAAGCTCTGCTTCAAGGGGGGTCGTCTCGAAGCTAGCATGTCCCTCCCGGGAGATGGACACATACAAGGTTTCTGGCCTGGCTTCTGGGCAATGGGCAATCTGGCTCGTCCTGGCTATGCTGCTACCACCGATGGTATGTGGCCATACAGTTACCATAATGGCTGTGATGCGGGCATAACCCCGAACCAGAGTTCTCCCGATGGTATCAACTGGCTGCCCGGTATGCGGTTGCCCGGATGTGCCTGCCCTGGTTCAGATCACCCGACTCCTGGTGTTGCACGCAGTGCTCCTGAAATCGATGTGATTGAAGGCAGCACAGCTCCGCTATATGGTGACAGCGGTCCCTACGTTGGCAGTGCGTCGCAGAGTTTGCAGACTGCACCATTCGACCTGTGGTACCTGCCTGATTATGGTGAGTATCTTCCCATTCTTTCCACTATGCAAGACATTTCTAACCAGAGAAACACCAGATTTCGCCGCCGTTTACGACTCACGGGTCACCAAAATTAACGACTACCGAGGCGGTGTTTACCAACAGGCAATGTCCAGCCTAACCAACCTGAATACCCGCTGGTATAATGGCACCGAATTCCAGACATACTCCTTCGAGTATACACCCGGCGCAAAAGGCGATGTGACTTGGTTCGTCGGCGCCGAAAAGACTTGGACACTAGACGCCCGCGCTATCGGACCCAACGGCAATATCGGTCAGCGCATGATCCCACTCGAGCCCATGGCCTTGATCATGAATATGGGTATGGCGGATAACTTTGCGCCGCAGAACAAGAGCATCATCGATTTCATGCCTGCTATCTTACGCTTCGACTACGTCCGAATCTACCAGGACCCTGATGAGGAGAGTGTTACTTGTGACCCGCCGGGTTATGAGACGACTGGGTATATTGAGAAACATCGCAAAGCGTATGATAATGCGAACTTTACAACTTGGTATGTTTATTACGCTCTTGTTCTTATATGTACTTTACTAACGATTGGACTTTAGGGACGAGGCTGGGTACCATTGGCCTAAAAATTCTTACATGCACGGCTGCTCGGCTAATTAGATATTCTCTTTCTCTCTTTCTGTCCTAAACTATTAGTCGTTTTAGCGGCATTGTTTTCTGGCGTTTTGGGGCATCACATTTATTTCCGCCATTCATCATCGATTCAATAAAATCGTTCAGTACTTCTCACTTCTTGTAGAACCCATTTAAGTTTTTGCTCAAATTACATCATACTAAAAGGATCAGTTTCTCTCGAACAGCCCAGGGCCAAGTTGATTGCAATATAATTGTATACTTGATATCCACTAAGCCTAATTAGGGGGTTCAACTCCACTAGTCAGATCAAATTGCCATTGTGCAACATCACCGCCTGCTTAATCTGGCCATAGTACGGGGACCCCCAAGAGGGTACGAGGTTATCTCGTCAATAGACTGGAACGTCCCCATCTTGACTTCTATCTGAACTGCCGTGAACCTGTAAGCTTGAGCCTCTTTATAATGGTCAATTTTCTTCCCTCTCAACCTCTTTCCCCGAGATATCCAGTCTCTAGTGCACTTGCCACCAATATCTGTTCCTCATCCACTGACACTGGCTATAGATCAATCCTGGGGTTCATGCAATAAGACATACATAAAATTCCCTGTCATTCACACATGTGAAGCAAAGTCTACCACAGAGGACTTTTATTACTTTATTTTCACCAGTCATTGGTTGCTCTCGCCTTCCAATCTCCAACTCCTCATCACCACATCTCAACTTAAAGAACCAGTCTCTGTCTCTGTCTACTTCCCACTGAGTTGTATCCAATATCATCATCTTCAAAATGTCCGGCCAAGACCAGCATCTATCAGACACGGAATCAGACTCTGAATCCGATGGCGGCATGCAACTCGACGACCTAGACTTAGACCGCGTCGACGGTATCCCATACGACAGCGACGGTATACCATTCGACGTCGATCAAAATGTGGACGGTGACCGCCCTTTATCAGATGATGATATTTGGGGCGTGAACGGAAACAGCTCAAATGGATCCCCCACAGGTATTCCACGTCCTTTCCCTTATTAAGTCCATCTTAGTTTCCCAAATCCTTACTTCTGGCCGACTACACCACTCAACACCTGAATCCAACCAAACTAATTAGTCTCCAAATTAACACCTAAATAGGAAGATTCTCCGGCCGCGCCCCAAACCCCTTCACGACATCATACAACCGCGCCGGCCCAGACGGCACAATCGAACCTCAAACAGCCTTTGAAAAAGACGCCCGCACACGCTCGCATCTGCGCGACGAAAAACACGCCGCTCTGGCCGTCCTCATGGACAATGAGTTATTAGTTACATATGCGCTTGCCTCGCGAGAAGTACGTTTACCATATTTTTCAAACCCTGCAATTGAAACGAATGATTAACTGACATCTCCAAGACAATCCCTCAAACACGTCGTCGTTTCATGGCAAGATATCTCGCACCTAATGACCCGGTGAAAGCAGAGGAACTCTACGATCCGCGATTTTATGTTGCGCCTCATGGGAAGGGCGGGGAGGGGTCGCTTATCCGTGGTCGGTGTCGGGAGGTTATTGGGGATATTAATGATCATAATTGGCACAAGCCTGCGCATTTGAGGTCGATGGATGCGAAGAGGGGTTCGAGGTCTGTTTCGGCTTCTTTTTCCGGTGCGAATTCGCCGGTTGGGGAGGGAGGGACCTTGTTGGTTGGGAGGGGACGGGAGGAAGATGAGGAACTATGAGATACATGTATGAATTGATGTGTTTATCGTTCTGCATTGTTAAGAAATATTGAATAATGGACTACTGGCTATTCATCAAGAGAGACATGATAGTATAATGTTTGTATTCGCTAAAACGGATTAAAAGGAAAGTACTATACAGAGACGCTAGTCAACGATAGGACCACCAGCCCAGAGATAAAGAAGAGAACAAAATGAGAAAAAGGGGTATCATCGAGATTCAGAAAAGAGAATAGCTTCTCTGGGGTTTTTTGTTCTCTTCCTCTTTTCATCTCTGGGATATTACCCGAGAGATTCAGGCAATGCGGTGGCACTGCAGTCTAAGACTTGCGAACTCATCTTCGCATTCTGGGTTGAACAGCTGATCGCAGATGTAGCCATCCAAATCGGAGGGAAAGATCAAAGCAAGAGATAAGACGCGAGAGAGGGACAGGGAGAATCCAATCAGAAGATAGAAAGTAGAGCCAAGACGAAAGCCAAGACTAAGCCAAGCGAGGCACGTCTTACATTTCTTTCTCCTCTCTCCTCCGCTTTTCCGAGTGGAACATACTCTCCATGTCTCCAACTTGCTTACGTTCCGAAACCTCCCGGCTGAGCATGCGAGCGTAGTGGGCCTGTGCATTCATCAGTGTCAGTCCTCGAGGCGGCGGTTTATATTCCGGGTCATTGTAAATTGGGTGGTGCAGGCGATGTGAAGTGGTGATCCGGATCCGACCATCTCTCATGACGGGTGATTGTCATTGGAGAGGCTCCGAGCTGGAGGACAGGCGGTTGAGATGAAGGTAGACGTCAGTCCCGTACCTGTGATGATCGATTAGCAAGGGTTTATTGAAATTAGTGGAAGTAGAAAAAAACATACCCCTCCATACTGATCAATTTTAAATCACCGCCAAAGTACCGTGCGTACAGTCGGCTTATTGGTAGGCCATATCCAAATCCAGCCATTGGCGCCTTGAAGTCGTTCTTGTCGAAATCAGGGTCCAGGTTGGGCGTTTGTTCCACTGTCGTGTACATGTACGTCCATACAAGAGGGATTGACGACCGGGGGATACCACCGCCCTCGTCGGAGATCTTGATCGTGATGTCCTCTTTGCCTTCGGCAACTATAACCTTGGTCACGGGGAAATCATCCTTATCGGCACCATGTTGTTCGACAACCGCTCGGAGCGAGTTCTTAAGGGTCTCGAAGAGCATGTGCGATAGGTGTCCGGGAACATACATGAAGTTCAAGTCCTCCTTGCAGACCAGCTGCACCTTAGGCGACTCGAAAAGACCATAGTAGTCCTCGCAGACGAAGCGGGCATTTTCAATGGCCTCGAGTGCGATATCGCGAACGTTGGTCTTGGTACAAATTATTCCAACATAATTGGGGTGTTTGATGTGCGTTTGTTCCGTGAGTGCGATGTGTTGACCGATAAGCATTCGTATACCAATTCTTGACATGTAAAACCGATCGAGGAAGGACTGAATCGTGGAGTCGATCTGCATCCGCTGCCGCGCACGTTTCCATTCCAAAATGCCTTGCGCGACGGTGGTCACGACCCCATCGTGGCGTCGCTTGATCTGTTGGAGGGTCTTGGCGAATCGTTGGTTGTAGTCATTGAGTTCCGGGGGCCAATCTCCGTGGTCGTCCGCGGGGAAGAAGTACCGTCGGCCTGCCGTGGCGTGTGCTTTTCCAACACCATTTCCATTGCATACAGTCACAGATGACCGGTATTGTCCTTCACGTACGCTGGGGTTTTGAGTTGTTTCAGAGAGAATTTTCGAAGGGCCGCCGTTCATCCGGCCTGGTCGCAACAGGCGTGCTTTCACTTCTTGAGTCAGAGTGGGGCGAGGAAGGGCAATGATTTCCTGGTTTTTGGGTTAGTATATGACTGCAGGTTTCATTGTCAATGGATGATATACATACCTCGAATGACTGCGCATACCAGTCCTGAACTTTTTTGATCGATGGCATCTCACTCAGTCCATCTGGTAGTTCACCCAAATCCTGCACGCGATGTGCGAGACGGATCGGGAGTTCCTCGGAGAGAAATTGAGAGGCGCGGAATAGAGTGCCTAGATGAGAGTCAGATATGTGGGTAGAGACAGTGTCAGACCGATTCATACCTGTTGAGGGACGGTCACCAAATTGGACCATCTGCCTCAAAGAGACACCGGTTGCGGGGAAGCTGGCATAGTGTCTGATGGTTTCCATCAGCCTTTCAGAAGGCTTCCACATAGTGGCGTGTATAGGCCGAATGGCCTGTAAGAGATGTGTCTAGAAAGTGTTGTCTTAGGGAAGTGTTGGAGGAAGAAGTGTAATGCGAGTCATCGGAACGTTTTGAACTGCCGAGGTCGAGCGGTCCCCGGGTTCTCCGCTTGCGCTCTCCGGGGATCGGAAGAAGATCACACGACAAGGGGAAATAAGCAACTTATGATTGCTTAATATTATAGTCTATTTTCTTTTGAAATTACAGCAGAAATATGAAAATAAAATAATCAAAGAAAATAGCTTAAGAGTGTGTATCAAGGCCTTAGCCCTAAGGTACTAAATCTAAAAAGTCCGTTCATCCGTTAAAAAGCATATGACGTAACATTCCTGCCTGAGGCATAACTCACATGTGAGATATCACGAGATATCAAAATGTCGGGGTAGAACCCGAGGTCTTTGATGACATGTTCATAGGTTATTTCAGATTTGGGGAAAGTGAAAGATCATTTCACCATCTTTAGTGGAATCAATAACTTATAAAGACCTAGTTCACCTGATATCATTTTTTGGTACTTTTTGAGTAAACTTTCAGACCCAAATTTCCAAAGTGATCGAGGGAACCGGCCCCCTTTCTACTGTCCAGGTGACCTTCGCTTTTTAGTACTAGAGGTCTGAGCAATTTAAGGGACCTTCTCAAATAAGAACCGAGTACGAAGTACATAGTATAGTTTTTGCCCTGCGGGATCTCTAGCATTCAAGTGCGTATGTGAATCTTTTAGCATAGAATATATATATTGTTAGAATAGCTCTAGGTCTAGGGGAGATCGTTTGTTCTAGAACCAAGAGATGGCCTATTTACCACTACTCCAATATCAAAATATGTATCCACCTTATGATTTTAAGACATATGCAGTAGAGTTTCACCATAGGGCTGGGATGCCACCCTTGTAACTGCTGATCTTAACACAAGTTTGGCCGAAGCTACATATACGGGTCATTCATTCAATTGTTTTGCTAAAGGCATAAATCACTGTAACAAACTTCCGTGTCTACGTCAGAAAAGAATGACAAGTAAATGTAACATGGTCAAAGCTGAGTAAATTGATTCAAAATAGCGGTGACGAGTGGTATATCGAATTGAAGTATACATCCTTATGGAGTCATCTGGAGGGATAATTTAGTATATATCTAACATCTATGGACACTCCAAATTGATTCTATAGCTTAATATATACTATCATCTAACAATATTCCCCAGATTCAAGCACATTCCCATAAGATTTATATTATATAGTTGTATATAATCCGTGCACAACATGAGTCCGTAGGACCGTGCATCGCTGCATAATCCTTGGAACTTTTGTCTCTTCCCTTTTAGCCTCGACATCGCTAAGGAAAATGACACTTGAGCATCGCGGCTATCTCGCATTTGCTGGCGCGATCCTTAATTGGACCATTCATTCTTCAGATTCCTATTCTTTAAGTCTTTGAACCATTTATATTCCTATAGAGTGAGAGAAAAACGGGTGATGTTCCCCTGCCCATTCACCCGGCCAACAGATCCGCTTTCTGGAGAATCAAGATTCCCTTTTCGAGCTCTTGCTGTTCAACAATTATTCCCTCTGACTGGCTATTGTTCGGCCCCTCCTCCTTTTTTGTGTGCGTTGGCAAATCGAATTTCCCTGAAGAAAAAAAAAAAAAAAAAAAAAAAAAAAAAAAAAGTTGGGTTGGCAAATCAAATTTCCCTAAAAAAAAAAAAAAAAAAAAAAAAAAAAAAAAAACAATCAATTCTACCCTAAATCAGAAAAGAAAAAAAAAAAAATATTCCTATCAATTCTTCATCTCTTTGTGCGATTTATAACTCTTCTCCCGGGATCACAGGAGGAATACGTGCTCCGATATATACCCTCCGGAAAACAATGTCTCGTCGTCGAATATCACACAGCGAGATGAATGAGGCACTTGCATATCCCTTCATGCAGTCCAAATCAAACGGCTTAAACGGTCAATCAAGTCAATCAAACGGTCCTCGCCGAGGCCCCATCGAAGGTCCCAATGGACGTCGTCTCATCCGTCGCGTCACATGGCGTTCCTCAACCTACAAGCTCATGGCTACCCTCTGGGTCCTGGCCGTCCTTTATATTGTCTGGCTAGTCCGCGACCTATTCTTCCCACCGTCCGAAACCCCTCAACCGGAACAAAAATAAAGGCTGTGTGTGTGGTGGGGGGAATCTCGTTTCGGATTAGGGAGGTGTTTGGGAGTGGGGGTTTAACCCATTGCGGGTTCGACTGAGGCTTCTTGGCTCTGTGGATATTTGGGTCTGTTCTTGGGCAGAGATGCATTGGCTGTGGGATTGGCCCCGTGAGGCCCGGGGGGAAATTGCACTTCACGAGTTGCTCGCTTGATTTGCGTTTTCCGTGGCTCCGGAGGTTCTCCGGTATAACATGGGCATTTGGTGATAGTCAATGGGTTGGATTCAACGCCAGCTTTGATTCCTTCTCAATCGACAGACTTCTATACGGAGTATATCTGCTATTTCGGCAATTGACCCCAACAGATATCCCTTTTTTTTTTCTTTTTTGCATTTTTGTTTATTGCATCTCAGCGTTTCCATTGCATATATGATTAGGCTAATAGCCTGATCATTTCTCTTATGTTTGGGTGGATTTTTTTGGGGTTGAATTGTATTTCAGAGCTTTCTCTGCATTATACGAAAGTGGAATATCCTATACCTTTTTTTCTTAGAATCAACTTCTATATAATTGACAAATTGACCCCTCTTATCTAAACCCCTCCAAAAAAGATTTGCGCGGGGCATCGGGGAAGCAGGAAAGTGGGGGGGAAATTTCCCACATATGCTTTGCATTATACTTCTAACTCTTTTTATTTTCTAAATATACACTAAGGTACCTCAAACGAAAAGGGAGGAGGTTTCACCCTTAGCAATGGTGCTGGCATAGGGCTTGATGGCAGCGGCGACCTCAGTAGAGGTGAACTTCTCAACCTGCTGCGGGGCGCGGCCGACGAAGGTGCTGGCGTCCAGGAGGGTATCCAGCTGAGAGATGATGGGGTCGAAGAAGGCAGTGCGGCGGATGCGCTCGATCAAGTCGTTGTCCTTGCCCTGCTTCTTGACGTTGTCGGCAGCTTGGTGAGAGAGGACACCTAGGTACATTAGAATTTGTTCGGATGGGAAGATAGGGAGAGAAACTTACGGATCTCCTCGTGGGCGTCCTGGCGGGAGAGACCCTTGGCGACACAGGCCATGATGATGTTCTCGCTGACATACTGTGTTAGCTTTTCCTATTAGATTATTCGGATCTGTACTCACGTAGCCATGAAGGGGAGCTCATCGTTAACGTGGCGCTTGATGACCTCAGGGTAGACGACAAAGCCGGAGGAGACGTTGTCTAAAGCGGTTAGCTATACTCCGATCATTTTTTAATTCCGAAAACTCACTCAGGAGGATGAGACAGGCGTCAGCAGTCAGGTACAGCTCGGGGATACTGATACGGCGGATGGCACTGTCATCCTAGTACAAGTTAATAAAAGATTCTAAATAAAACCCGGGGTAAGCTCACGAGAGATCGCTCGAACCACTGAGCGGAGTAGGTGTCCAAGCAGTCCTTGGGGAGGTTCTGCAGGTGACGTCCAAGAGAGCAAAGACGCTCCGAGCGCATGGGGTTGCGCTTGTAGGCCTATAGATCCGATTATCAGACAAGACCCAATTAATACAACAGAAAAGCAAACTCACCATGGCACTGCTGCCAATCTGGTCCTTCTCGAAAGGCTCCTCAACCTCCTTGAGCATGGCAAGGTGACGGATGTCAATGCCAATGCGCTCGCAGGTAGAACCAAAAGAACCAAGAGCGTTGGCGACATCAACATCGATCTTGCGCGAGTATGTCTGGCTGGAGACGATGAAAGCGGAGTTGAAGCCGGCCTTCTCGGTAACAAGCTCGTCCAGGCTCTCAACCTTGGCGTGGTCGCCGTTGAAGATCTGCAGGAAAGATGCCTGAGTACCGGTGGTACCCTTGACACCACGGAAGCGCAGGTCATCACGGGTACGCTCGAGGTTGCGCAGATCCATCAGCAGATCCTGGATCCAGAGACAAGCACGCTTGCCAACGGTAACCAGCTGGGCGGGCTGACCGTGAGTGAATCCAAGACAAGGAAGGTCCTTGTACTGCTGAGCGAACTGGGACAGCTTGTCGATGACAACAGCCAGCTTGGGGATGAGGATGTCGAGACCGTCGCGGAGCAGGATCAGATCGGCGTTATCGGTGCAGTAGCATGAGGTAGCACCCCAGTGGATGATACCAGCGGCGGCGGGGGCAACCAGGCCATAGGCGTGGACGTGGGCCATGACATCGTGTCTGCGGCGCTTCTCCTCCTCGGCAGCAACGGCGAACTCGTCATCCTGGATAAGCTGGTGGGCCTTCATCTGCTCAATGGCCTCGGTGCTGATAGGAAGTCCAAGCTCTGTAGCCATGATTCAGTCAATTTGCATGTCTTGCTTTAATAACCTCCGATGTCGGTTGAAACTCGACTCTCCCGTACCTTGTTGAGCCTCCGCAAGCCAGGTCCAAAGCTGTCTCCATGTGGAGAAGCGCTTCCGGGGGGAGAAGAGGTACTTCATCTCATTGCCTGATCAATTGAGTATGGTTAATCCCGATCTATACAATTTCCGGGGTTCTCCCTCCTATGGAGGGGTAGTTGGGACCGACTTACTCGCATAGCGCGAGTTGAGGGGGGTCTGGTAGACATCGTTGCTTCCGGACATTGTGTCGGTTGTCTGAGACACTCAAACCAAGAATTGAGTAACAGGAGGATAGGACAGGGACAAGGCAATGTGCGAGCAAGGAATTTTGCTGCAAGTCCGGCTTTAGCGGGGCTTATCACGTTATCGGAAACCTTATGATCTACATGTCACATGACAATATACGTTTTTCTAATGGGAGGTTAGGGCAGATGTTGTGGCATATTATGATATTAGCTCGTATAAATGACAGTCCTGTGTAATTTTAATCTTCGCTCCGGAAAATTAAGACAACTGTGCCAGCTGTACCGATAGGCTTGCCTTGTCGTACTTGATGTATTTGCCGCGGCCTTTGTCGATCTCCACATATCGATCATAAAACCGTGCATACAAAGGCTCGAGAACAGTTTGCAGCTCACGAGTCAGCGCAATGCGCACCTCACGCTCCATGTGAAGGGTTTTATGCCGAGACACCATTTCATCGAAGCTCGCGTTGAATGATTTGAACTTGTCCTTGATTGCATCCTTATCCTTGGACGATAGGGACTTGACGATGGCACCTGAATCCACGTTGCCACTGGAGTTGCGCTGTGCTCCACGTGAGGTATATTGCACATCAAGAAGGTACTGGGAAGTTTCTTTCCATGCATCGAGATAGGTAGATGTCGCGCGCTTGCGGAATGTGTCGATCCGGGCAATACTGTCGGGATTGCCCAAATAACGTGCTAGCTCTGAGCTCTGTCGGATCGACCGGTCTACTACGCAGAACACGTTGGACAAGAATACACCAAGCGCTGCCTTTGACCGGTGGAAAGCCCGACCTCGAGCTTCCAGGGAGGTCATCAAGGCCTCGATCATATCTAGAATGAAATGCGATAGAAGGGTGCTGCTGTCTGGGCCTACATCTAGAGGAGCCGAGCCAGCGGTGTTAGACTTAGCACGCCAGTTTCCGTCTCCCAAAGAAGTTAGGATAGAAGCCAAAGGACCCGAGTATCCTGTCAGTGTGGCCAATGAGCTCATAACTTCCTCCACAAGAGGTATCGATCCACCATCCGGTGGGAGTGGTGCAGTAGTAGCTTTGCGCTTCGTTTCCTCGAGCAATTCAGAAAGGGACGACTTTGCAGTCTCCCGTACAGGCCGAAGAGCCTCGATCAAGAGGCTCTTCAGTTCCGCTGCCTTGGAGTCAATCCGATATGACATCGCAGTCACAATTTCGATGATCTCAAAAGCCAAGAAGCAGTCCGTCATGAGATTGGCCTTTATATACTGGTTGAGCTCACGCAGTGTTTTGGAATATTCACCCATAGCTGGGAAGAAGGTAGCCTGCAATGCCAGGCCCTGCTGATCTCCAGTGAACATTTGCACGATGATACTGTGCTCGGTGGTTATAAAGGCCTCCAGCGCATTGGAGTAGATTCCAATACCATTAGTACCCTGTTTGTAAGGGCCATCGGTAGGTCGCCGTTTGACAGTATTGAGCGACGCAATGGCGAGGTTCTGCAAGCTGGATGTGATGTACGGTCCTCGCACGTCCGCATACACCTTCAGCGCGGGGTTATCCCCCTTGCCGCGCTGAGATCCATGGATGGATGCGGAGCCGACCACCGAGCACACGGGCGCCATATGGGAGATAGTTTCTTCGGGTATTGATGGAAAAGAGAGATCTAGAAGCGTCGCGCATTAGTTTTGTCTGACTCGGCTGGTGGTGATATGTGTACCTTTGGTCAGGTAGTGTAGGGGCTCGATCGGAGTGGCATGCTGGCTTAATTCTCCCCGCAGTAGTTCTTGAAGTTTTGCGCTTCCTGTGTTTAAAAGGGAGTTGAAGTCGGTGATCGCATTCTGGTTCGATCGCAGGTTTGTTGTGTTGAGGTCGACCAGCGCCTTTTCAACACGTTTCACTGCAGACAGATACTGCGTGAGGCCGGAGCTCTGTGGTCTGAAGAACAGTCAGCAAAAGACTCGGGCTGTATATCAAAGATAGTCAAAAGATACATACCCTGCGCGAATGATGCCATCTTCTCGGTTCTTTGCATCGAGAGGCTGGCGCAGGCGATCGATGGCGTCGTTGACCTTGTCGATATTGCTGTTGGTGATTTGAAGGGACTGTGTGTTGCTATAGATGGGACCAATGGCTTCTTTGACAACTTTTCCTCCTGTCTCCAGGCGTACCATAGAGCCTTGGATCTTCTTCGTGAGTCGGTTGAGCTTCTCCAGGTTGGCATACAGGACCTCAACCTCCGCGCTCTCCTCGGCGTAGGCGGTATTCCTTGGCGCCACCATGGTTAATTATGAGATGCAGATCAGGCAAAATCAATCCAGAAAGAACATATCACATGTCACCAGGACCCCTCATGTCCTCAAGGGCAAATGGAATGGATTGATTGTCCCCTCCGAGCTCCATCCAGTGATAAGGAGCTCCGCCACGCTAGTCCCAAAGAAGCCAGCGGCCCATGCGGAGTTGTCACATGACTTATCACGTGAATTTACGTCATGCACTTGCGAGCTGTTCCAAAACGGGTTGGCTTGCAAGAAAAAGGCAGGCAAGGTTTGGGAGTCCTTCAATGGATCCCACTGCATGCAGCAGGTTTCTTACTTTGCCCACAGCTCCCTGTCTACGATGTGCGCTGCAAGGGTCACTCGTCTGAAATGGACGGTACCTCCCGCTGCCCTAGCTGCATACACTGTGGGGGAATTGTCCCACCCCAGACAATCAAGAGCTCAATTCACTACTTCTCGAACGCGGCATAGCAATGGCTCGGAGTCTACTGGGTCCAATGGAGGTTCAGATGGTCGCGGTGAAGATGGCAAGGACAATGGATCCATATGGGACAAGCTCGATGGGGTTAAGCAAACTGTTAGCTCCGAGTGGGCAGAGGTAGGTAACATCACAGACTACATTATCCCGGACTGGACGAAATTCCTACCAGCTACTGCCCAAAAACTCCAGCGAGAGCTCTCGCAGTCGCCCGGCTCATTATCGGACGATATCTGGAAGGAGGCACACGACCCCGATATCAACCCTGAGATTCTCCGCGACGCCGAGGTACGAGTAAGTGGGGATCTCTGCGACGAAGAACAGATATTCAGGCAACAACGACAACGGAAGGTCGTTAAAGCATTGTCATCCTACCTCAACATACCGGAGGAGGACATCCACCCCGAAGATGTACCAGTCATTGCGATATGTGGCTCGGGAGGTGGTCTGCGCGCCCTAGTTGCGGGAACCGGTTCTTACCTGGCAGCACAGGAAGCAGGGCTGTGGGACTGTATTACCTACACGGCTGGTGTCAGTGGCAGCTGCTGGCTACAGACCCTCTATCATTCGTCCATCGCGCAGCGAGACTTCTACAAGCTTGTCGACCATTTGAAGAATCGCCTTGGTGTCCACATTGCATTCCCACCGGAAGCTCTCAACCTCCTCACTACTGCTCCAACAAACAAGTACCTTCTCAGTGGCTTTGTGGAAAAACTGAAAGGCGACCCTGGAGCGGACTTTGGGTTGGTAGATATTTACGGATTGCTTCTCGCAGCGAGACTCTTGGTCCCGCGAGGAGAACTTGGAGTTTCCGATGTAGATTTCAAGTTGTCGAATCAGCGAGCCAATTTGATAAATGGCGCTCATCCACTTCCCATCTATACGGCGGTGCGACATGAGATTCCTGTCGAGGCCCTCGAACACCCAAACGAAGAGGGCAAGAAGCAGCCAACGCCTGAACAGTTGGTGAAAGAGTCAAAAAATGAAGCATGGTTCCAGTGGTTTGAGTTCACTCCGTACGAATTCTTTTGTGAAGAACTCAATGCTGGTATTCCAACCTGGGCTTTGGGACGTCATTTCAACGCGGGACGCTCTGAGGTTGTTTCCGCTGACAACCTCCCCATCCCGGAGTTGAGAGTTCCCGGGCTCATGGGTGTTTGGGGTAGCGCTTTCTGTGCAACTTTGTCTCACTATTACAAGGAAATCCGGCCTCTAGTCAGAGGACTGGCTGGATTTAGTGGAATCGATTCGCTCATTCAAGGAAAGAACCAAGATCTGATTAAGGTGCACCCCATTGACCCTGCGGGTATACCCAACTACGTCATGGGTATGAAAGATCAGCTGGCAGACTCCTGTCCAGAGTCGATCTTCCGAAACCCCCACCTGCGTCTCATGGATGCAGGAATGAGCAACAACCTTCCAATCTACCCCCTCATTCGACCGGGGCGCGATGTCGACGTCATTGTCGCATTTGATGCATCTGCAGACGTCAAGCAAGAGAACTGGCTTTCTGTGGTTGATGGATACGCCAGGCAACGCGGTGTCAAAGGTTGGCCCATCGGCGCCGGATGGCCTAAAAATTCGAGCCTTAAGGATACCGAGGACGCCCTACGTGAGCCAGAGAACATCACCGAGGAACAATTAACACAGAAAATCGCCGATGCCAAGAACAAATCTGAAAACCAGCCCACTGATCAAAAGCCCAAGGCCGGCACAGACCTGGGCTATTGCAACGTTTGGGTCGGCACGACGGAAGAGCGAACCTCGGACGATGAGCCTCCACCATCCAAACGTCTCTTTGATTCTCCACACAGTGAAGACCACTCTGAATCCGAGTTCCACCTGATGCGCCCAGACGCCGGCATTGCGGTTATCTACTTCCCTCTGATTCCCAATCCTTCCGCACCGGACATCCCTCCTAAGCCTAAAACTCGTCCGCGTGCAGCTGCTCAGTCCATGCGACAGGATAGCTCTCAAACCAAAGACCCAGAACTGCCCCTCGCTCCGCAACCCAACTCGATCGATCCTAATGTTGATGATTTCCTGTCAACTTGGAACTTCATCTACACGCCTGAGCAGATAGATGCTGTCGTTGGTCTTGCAAAGGCAAACTTCAAGGAGGGTGAAGAGCAGACTCGTCGTGTTGTCCGTGCTGTCTATGAGCGTAAGAAATCCGATCGACTGGAGAAGGAGGCGGCAGAGCTTCGGAAGAAGATGGAAGGCTTTGTGCCTCTGTGATGCTGCGCTCTTTTATCCAAATCCATCAGACCAAACCTGACACTGGTTGAAGCTGCATTGGACACCACGCCATCGTGAATACACGGCGCTTTTTTTGAAAAATTTACCTCACATACCCCTGTCTTTCCTTTTCATTTCCATTTATCCTATTGATTTGAGTTAGATAAAATCTGACATCTAGATTTCACATTCATCACGTTCCTAGCGAGCTATTCTTCTTTATGCATAATACGGAGTAAACTGCCTGTGACAATAACAAGCATATAAAACACGATTTAATGGTATTTCATAAATGCACTATGTACATGTATTATGATATGCACTTGTTAAAGCCCTGGCTAAATACTATATCCCACTCGACTGCTCAGAGCTCCGATCTATTTTATACTGTTCCCCCCATTCCCATAATTCGTCTTCACCCCCTCAAGCCCTTCGCTATGCACCTTCTTAACTTTGACCTTCCGGCCCTCATCATCAGTAGTCGTCTCATCATCACTCCCAGAAACACTAACATCCCGACTATCACCCGTCTGCTTCCGCAGTCCAAGTTCCTTCTCCAGCGCATGTCCCAGCTCCTTAGTCTTGCCCGAGATACTCGCAGCAGTACTTTTATGTGATGAACTCTCAGAAGGACGCCGGTTCTCCTTATCTCCCTGCACCCCCCGCCAGTCAGGCGGCTCGCTTTCGTGGATAGGATCGCCAGGTTTGGGCTCACTGATCGGTTTCCCTGCTGCCGGCGCGCTATCTTTGCCCTTCTTCCCTTCCCCGTTGATCTTGGCTGCACTGGTTTCCACGGCCTCCGCCGCAGGATACCGCCATACAACTTTCAGCTTGTCTAACGCCCGGATCCCCTTCCTTGCGCTTCCCTTGATCCCGTCCATGGCGTCCCATTCCGTCTCGAAGACGCCCGAGTCGTGCTCGGCTCCGCCTTCGAAGTACGAGTTGAACCATACGTGCGCGATGGAAGTTACCATCGCAAAGCCTGTATAGGATGCTTTGCTGCGGCGCTCGAAGTCGATGTTCACATCCGAGCTGGGGACAATGACTGGGTTGTTAGGCTTGAAGATTATTGCCGAAACTCTGGTGCCCGGCGCAGACGACGAGCTGGAGACGTCAGATCCCGATGCCGCCGGTGACCAGGTCGCAGATGAAGGGAGTGTGTTCTTAATGTTGGGATTCGGCTTGGTGATATCGTTCCCCTTGTCATCTTGTTCCTCAGACCATGAGCCCCCATCTTCAACAATGGTACGCTCATTCCGGTGAAACAGATGAAAACACTTAATCTTCTTCCCCTCATCCACATACCCCTCCACAGCAACTTTAACCCCATCCCTCAATCCCCAGATATGAACCTCCAGGATCTCCACCGGCCGCTCGACATACTGTTTCCCCAGCTCGTTCGCCCATTTATCAATATATCCGACATACCGCAGCTGGCTGGGGATGCTAACGCCGTTCCCGAAGCCAACCCGCATACGCCGATCCGTAAACCGCTGCAGCGCATCTTCTTTCTTCCACCCCTCCTGGCTGATCAGGTATGCGCACGCGATCGTCCCGCTGCGCCCTTTTCCTGCTTTGCAATGCACGACAGCGACGCGTTCTTTTTTATCCGTGTCTGACTCTGTCTCGTCTAGTCGGTGTAGCCAGTTCCGCATGCTGCCCATTATGTTGGGAATATGCGCGAATGGCGGTGGGTGGTGATCAGGCCAGGGGAAATGATGAATGCGTCCGTAGACTTCTGAGTCTGGATATCCTGTGCCTTCGGCGCGAAATTCCCAGATACACCAGTCTGTGCCATGTTTGGTGTCGAGGAAGCTGACTAGTGCGTCCAGTGGGTTGCGGTAGGCGCGTTGGGGGTATGTTGCTGATGGGCCGGAGGTTGCGATAACTGTGGGATTATGTTAATGGGAGTTGTTTTGGTGTGGAATGGGTATTTTACTATTATCTGTCACGTAGCAGAGGTCTAGTCCTGCTTCTGGGTGTTTTTGTCTTGGACCTGCCACTATCTGGCGGAGGATTGATGACTGGGATATTCCAAGGTTAGCCGTTGGGAATTTATTGAGGTGAAGCTGACGTACCATTTGCAGAGTATATAAATGTTTATAAGATATATCCACCAGAATTATGTGAATGTGGAAAAGAGAATGTATACAATTCAACGGGGAGTTATTTTTGAGGCGTAGCGGTGATGTCACCGGGTAAATTAAGGCCCTTGCTCTCTCCAACATAAACATAGGGCTATCTTCTACTAACATGAGGTATAAAATATTGTAGTAAGAAGTTTGATTCCTTTGTACGATTCCAGACTAATATTATACAAATATTTCCATCACAAAATCCTAGAAATTTCCAATTGGGCCACATGTCGCATGCTCAAAACAGACCCATTAAGACCCTCCATTATATTAGAAAGGAAACAGCCAAATTCTCCCAATTCAAAGCAAGTAGAGACCTGAGACCTGAAGCAATTTAGGCAATGCCGTACTCCTTCGTAGGCTTCATAACAAAATGAACAGGGTTGCGGTCAGGGACGGTAGCATTCTTCACGCCATGCTGGTACCAAGTCGCGAGGGAGTCGTCGCTGAGCCAGGTTTTCCAGGTGTGGACGACACCGACCTCCCACTGTGCCTTTGAATCAGCGGTCCAACCGGCAGGGGAAACAGTGGTCGTGATGTTATTGTCCTCGCAGAGGGTGGCCTGGCCTACAATGCCGTCGCAATGGGTGCTGAACTTAGGGGTCATTTCGTTCTCGTCACCAGTGATGTCGTATCTGAAGACGCAGCCACCTTGGGAACAGCCGATGACGAAGTCGGATACACTCCAGATGAGGTCGTCGGTGATTGTTTGGACTTTTTGGGCCTCTAGGGCAGCAGGGCGTGCAGTGGTTAAGCCTGCTAGGGCGATTGAGAGGATGGTGGCGAGTTTCATGTTGAATTTGGATTTTTCTTTTGGATGGAGATAAATTAATAGTTGGATAGATAGAATATGTAAGGGAGGGAGGGGAATTATATAGTTGAGAGAGGCTGGCGTTTAACGGCATTTCCCTTTCTCGGTTCTCTTGGCAGAAACCCAACGCCGATCACTTTTCAGGGGAATGTTGCCAATGACCTTTCAGGATATAATAGTTATGATCAAACTCTTGTTTCCATGATCTTCGAATGATGACTGTTGAATGTCAAAGGTTGTACTTGTCCAACAATTACTTCATGATTATCATCTCTTTCAATCCGGGGTTGACTATTTATAGTATATGGATCCACCAACAGGGAACAAGGTCTTTCATCTCCAGGGGTTTATTTTATTTGCTTTTTCTATGTGAGAATAGTGAAATAACATTTGATATGATGCTGGGGCAAATATTTGGGTAATACAAGTGGAAGAGGCTTATAGTACAGGATATATACATACTGACCGAGGTCGAAAATTGTGTGACATTCCCAGAAAGGGAATTGAAGTTCTGTTCCTGAGAAGGATTGTGGCTTGCAGTTTAGCTGCATATTCCAGGCAATATGCCGTTTAGGAAATGAAAATTCTGAGATTGAAATATGCCAAAGGACATTGAAAGGATTCGATTTTCACTCAGACTTGGAGCCATTGTCGGTGCCACCAGCTTCCCATTCATCCCAACCCTCCTCTCTCATATTTTGCTCAATGGCAAGGCGTCTTCGTTTCTTCTTTCGACGCTCTTTGTTGTAATCACGTCGTTGCTCGTCTGACATGCTCAGTCGACGAACTGCAGGTGGTACAGGGTGGCGACCAACTCTCTCATTCGCTTCCCTATCCCTCTGTTTCTGTTGCAGCTCCTCGTCTAGCTTTCTCACGTCGTCTCGAATGAAGGGGTGATACTGTAGTCGCATCGCAAACTCGTCCACAGAACCGGCACAGATCTCACGGATTTCCTGCTGCGTTTCAGGGCTGAGTTTGGCGTCCCGCTTCATCAGATCTTGGAAGTACATGAAACCGGATCGGAAATTTCCCGCATCTAGACACATCAGGATGATAGACTCGAAAGTAACACTGTTCGGTACAACCCCCAGTGATGCCATCTCTTTCACTAGGAACATGCCCGATTCGCGGTTGCGGGCCGTTCGGCACATCCGAATCAATGCGTTGTACACTCGAACGTCAGCGCCTTCGGGGCATAAAGTATAGAGCTCTTTGTAGAACCCAACGCCGTCGTCCACCACGGATGGATCGTCATGCGCATCATGTTCACAGAGATCCGCGATGACACGGACAGCGTCAATGGGAATGGTTCGTTTCGCATTCTTCAACCGCTTGAGAATCTGCCACGCCTCCCGACGATCAACTTTACTCTGTATCATGTGCGCAAGAACACACTCCGTCGAGGTATCCGACAGAGGGATTCGAGCTTCGTGCATGGTGCAAAGCGCTTCAAATGCAGCAGGCAGATCACCCGCTGCCACGTGTGTCGCGACAAGTCCTTCATAGTGTGTGCGCCCGAGCGGAATCCCGCTCTCACGGAGGTAACGGAACACAGAGGCCGCCAGCTCTGTATCACCAGCCTTTGCAGCCATTTTCAATACGTCATCGCAGACTTCAATGAGCGGATGCATGTAGCCCAGTTCAACCATGCGTCGCCACACATAGTGTGCCATCGGGTAATGGCCATGTTTCCCTGCCTCGGTCAACACGTGCATCCAAAGCCGATGGGTCATGTCCTGGCCCTGCTCGACGCGCGCACGCATCACATTGTACACCTCGTCCAACTCTCCATGGTCGCAGAGAGTATATACAATAATACTATGGAGCCAGTTTTCCACAAATATATCCTTCCGCTCCATCAATGCAACATGCTCGAGTGCGAGCTCGATCTGGTTCTCGCGGAGAAGGCCAGCCGCCACAAAATGCCACCCGGCTGGGCTCAGCGTGAGCCACCGGTCCCGTAGCTTGTTGAGAATTTCTTGTCGTAGGAGGTAGTCTGGATGTACGGCTAGAACCTGCATTGGAAATTGTATCGTAAGCTTCGCTTTTTATACATCGGGTCAACCGTATAACCTACCTGCAATGCACCGTGGAGTGTACCAGAGTCCGCAGTAATGCCATTATTCTCCATCTCCTCCAGCAGACCGCGCACGAGCTCCGGAGAGCCCCTCTCGTTATCGGTATTTGCAAGGATAAGCGCCTTGTAGTGGCGAGCATTCGGCTGCACATGACGGTCCCGAATGAGCAATCGCAGGATCTGCGTTATGTGTCGAATGTTCGGCTTGTTGTCCATTACATATTGCAATCGGGACTCTAGCCATTCGTTCGTTTTTCCTAAAAGGTCGTCTTGCACCCTATGCGTTCGTGTATATAGCGGGCCGCCTTTTCGTATGGGTGGCCTGGCGGTTGGATCTGAAGACAGGCGAGCGTCACGGTATTCATTTTCGCGTGGCTCCCTTGCTTCACTCCGATCATTATGATGTGATGCATTATATGGGACTTTGAAGCTATTGTCGCGTGAGGTGTTGTAGCATCGGCGCGAACCAGCGCCCGGGCTAGAAATCGAAGGTAGTGGGTATAGTCTCGGGTTTCGTCCCTTGGATTTGGAGAATGCTGTTGATCGACTGAGGCTCAGGGCTGTGAATGATGGACACAGAGAGTACCATAGCCCATCAAGGACCAATGCCCGCCGCGACATATCCGTTTGTGGCTAACTGATCGGACGCTAAGCCTCCGCGGATTTGATATGGAGCTTGATATCACGTGACAGCATCGAATATTCGCTTCTTAGATTGCATCAAAGGTTGATACATAGAAGAGTCGTCTGTACAGTTTATGCTTTTTCCGCCTTTCTTGTCATCTACCTATCTATAAAACTGAGAAGGGGAGCAAACAGCTAAAAAGTATACATTTCAAAGACTACGAAAAAGACTACGCAAGACCGCATAAGCAGCGGACTATTCTTGTGAAGTTATAGAGAAATACGTCTAGTTTGGGCTTTTGGAATATAACATTTAGAGGTAGTTGTAAATCGACCAAGTGACCCAGATGCCGTGAAAAACAGAGCCAGATACGCCACGGTCATGCTCGATCAAACCGTTCCACCGGACCTTCCGAGCGACCTTACCACCGTCTCCTCCGGGGG